GAGTGCTGTGGCATCATTGTAGCTCACAAGCAACCACAAACTCTTGGGCTTAAGCCATCCTTCTGCCTCAGCCTCCTGAGTAGCTGGGATTAAAGGTACCCAACACAACAGCTAAAAAATTAGCTGGCCAATTTTTCTACTTTTAGTAGAGACAGGGTCTTGCTTTGGTCAGTCTGGGCTCAAAGTCCTGAGCCTCTGGGCCAATCCTGAGTCCTGGCCAATCTACCTGCATTGGCCTCCCAGAGTGATGGCTACAGGCCAGCGCCACCATGCATTTTTTTTTTTTTTTTTTTTTGTAGAGACAGGGTCTTGCTTTGGTCAGGCTGGGCTCAAAGTCCTGAGCCTCTGGGCCAATCCTGAGTCCTGGCCAATCTACCTGCATTGGCCTCCCAGAGTGATGGGATTATAGGTGTGAACCATGGCCCCCAGCCTACTTCTTATCGATCTTATCTGTGTCTCTGTCCTTTAATGTAGATTTTTGTTGTCATTTTTTTTTTTTTTTAAGACAGAGTTTCACTATGTCACCGAGGTAGAGTGCCATGGCATCACAGCTCACAGCAATCTCAAACACTTAGGCTTAAGCAATTCTCTTGCCTCAGCCTCCCAAGTAGCTGGGACTACAGGCACCTGCCACAACACCCCGCTATTTTTTGGTTGCAGTTGTCATTGTCATTTAGCAGGCCCGGGCCAAGCTCAAACCCACCAGCTCCCATGTATGTGGCCAACACCCTACTCACTGAGCTACAGGTGCTGAGCTTGTAATCATCTTTTTAACACATGGAGAAGCTATGATTTAAGAGAGCACTTTAATCCTTAAATGCCTAGGATTAGAGCTAGTGAGAGTCACATCAGGTTTGACCCAGGTACTCTGCCACCAGATGCCATTCTTCCCCTCACCTGAAACTCTTCCTCTCACTGAGTATTACTCTAGTCAGTAAGAATAAAAATTTAAAAATAGAATATTTACTCGCACAGATACTACATACCCTGTTTCATACGAGGAAGGAGATGATATCTAACATTTAGTACATCCTTACTCTTTGCCACGCCCCATTGTGCACATTTACCAGTCTTTTTTTTTTTTTTTTTTTGAGACAAAGTCTCACTATGTTGCCCTTGGTAGAGTGCTGTGGCATCATAGCTCACAGCAACCTCAAACTCTTAGGATTCAGTGATTCTCTTGTCTCAGCTTCCCAAGTAGCTGGGACTAAAGGCACGCGCCACAACGCCTGGCTATTTTTTGTTATTGTTGTCGCAGTTGCCATTGTTGTTTAGCAGGCCCTGGCTGGGTGTATATGGCCAGCACCCTAACCACTGAACTATGAGTGCCAAGCCATCTAAACTAATTTAATCTTCAGAAGCATTTTAGATGGATCCTTCAATTTATCTATTTCTGACTATCAGGGAGTTTGAGGAACAAAAAAATTAATGTAACTTACGAAAGGTCACATAGGAAATAAGTGGTAGATTCAAGTTTTGAACCAAGTAGTTTGGGTCTATGATCTAAGCTTTTTGGGTGTTCATTTATTTTTTTGTTTTTTTGGAGATGAAATCTCACTATTCACTAGGGTAGAGTGCATTTATCATGCACATAACCTTGAGTTTCAGTGCACTGCAACCTCAATCTTGGGTTCAAGTGGTCTCCCTGCATAGCTGAAACTACAGGCATGCTCAGCTAATTTTTCTATATTTTTTGTAGAGACAAGTTCTCTCTATGTTGCTCAGGCTGATCTAGATCTCCTGGGCTTTTTTTCTTTGAATTGAAAATTTTACTATTAGAGATTTGCATATACTTGTGAAAAATAATAAAGATCTTTAATATGATTTGCCTGGTTTTCCCTCTATGGTCCTATTTTGTAAAACTAAAGTATAATATCATAACTAGGATAGTGATATAGTTCACCAATTTTATTCAGATTTCCCCATTTATACATGTACTTACTTCTGTTCATTTATTTATTTACAACTTTATATCACCTGTGTAGGTTTTGAATCCACCATCAGTCAAAATACTTGGCCTTAGGTCCGCACCTGTAGCACGGTGGTTACGGTGCCGGCCACATGCACCAAGGGTGGCGAGTTTGTACCCCACCCAAGCCAGCTAAACAACAATGACAATGGCAACAAAAAAAAAAGCTGGGCATTGTGATAGGCGCCTTTAGTCCCAGCTACTTGGGAGGCTGACGCAAGAGAATCCCTTGAGCCCCAGAGTTTGAGGTTGCTGTGAGCTATGATGTCACAAGACTCTACCAAGGGTGACATAGTGAGACTCTGTATCAAAAAAAAAAGATACTTGGCCTTACAATGAATGATTTCAGTTCCACCAAGCCTTCCTCCTGTTGCCCTTTTCCTTTTTTATTTTAATTTTTAAAATTATTTTAGTATTTCATAAAGATAGAGTCTTACTGTGTTTTCCAGGCTATTTTGAACTACTGATCTCAAGCAGTCCTCACAACCTGGCCTCCCAAAGTGATGGAATTAGATGCAGAGGCACTGCACCTCATCAGTGTTGCATTTTTATAACTATAGCCGTCACCCTCCTACCTTTCTGCTTTCATCACCAGTCCCTGGCAACCACTAATCTATTCTCCTTCTCTCCAGTTTTGTCATTTCAAGAATGCTGTGTAAATAGAACTTATAGTATCTAATTTCAGGGGTTTGCTTTTCCCAATTAGCATAGTTTCCTGGAGATTTCAGATTATAGCATGTATCAGTTGTTCATGTCTTTTCATTGCTGAGTAGTGCTCCATAGTATGTATATACCATAGATTTTATAACCATCTACCAGTTAAAGGACATCTGGGTTGCTTCTATCTAGTGTTTGGCAATTGTGAATAAAGTTACTGTGAATATATTATTTACCAGATTTTATGTGAATGTCATATTTTATTAGTCTTGGGTAAATCCTGAGACATCTTGCTTTGTTCTACCCTGATGATTTCTTATGGACTTAACATGATACCACTAACTTGTATGTAAGTTAGTTATTCTTTCCTATTTATATTATGTATTTCTATTTGCATATCATCCATATGTAAAGGTCATCTGTGATGTTAATATACATAATTGGCATTTTCCTTTTGTTTTATAAGTGATGGTCAAAAAATGAGCAAACGAAAAAAGAATTATCCAGATCCAGTTGCAGTCATCAATAAGTATGGTGCTGATGCTCTCAGGTACAAACCAATGTTTTGCCTTGTATGTATTTTTCATTTTTTATGATAGCATTTTTTACCCTGTTAATGACAATTCTTAGATTTGGTTTATAGTTAGGCTTTTAAAAATGTATGTCTGTTATATGGAGGTTACATGGGTATGTTGTTGATTTTAAACCCCATAAATAGTTTCCTAAATAGAAAGGTATTTTCATACCCAAAGGTCTTTGTGAGGAAGACCTGTATTGGATTTAATTTTGTATTTAGAGCTACAATGAGATATATTTATGCTGGAGCAAATAAAAACTGCTGAAAAGCTTTTAGAGAAATTTGAGCCACTACTTAAAATAGAATCATGGGATTATACAGTGTTCAACTTGAAAGAGACCCAGAGATTTTGTTCAGCATGCCTGTGTCATAGACTTGGGACCAGGCCCATGATCGAGCACCTTCATGCAGTACCTATGTTGCCAAGGAGAGTTAGCAGGACTGTCCTTTGACTCTCAGTTATGTTAGACTCACCCTTAGAGCTGTTGACCATTTGGACTGGGTAATTCTTTGTGGTAGGAGTTATCTCCCCTACCAAGTAGGCTATTTAGCAGGATTTCTGGCTTTTGCCCACAAGCCTCTGTGCAGGTTGCTCCCCTCCCTATGAATCCCTGTGTGTATGCACAGTGAGGGTGTGAATGGTGTTCATGGAAAGGAGGCAGACCAGGCCAGCTTTCCACTTGGTGTGACTTGGTCCTACAGTGAGATTAGCATTTCTATACTGATACAATGCCGTATTTTGGTATGGGATTATGTATACTCCCTCCTAACTTACTAGGTCTCACATAAAGTAAAAGCTTTTTGAGTTCTAAATTGGTCTTTTGAAGATTATTTATAACTTCCTCTTTTTATAGATAAAAATGATGATTTTCATCATTTTCTCTCAATATATTAAGTAGTAATATTTGGTTTACCATTTATATATAGCTTTCCTGTGAAATTTTTCTCCCTCTTTCAGATTATACCTGATTAACTCCCCTGTAGTGAGAGCAGAAAACCTCCGCTTTAAGGAGGAGGGAGTACGAGACGTCCTTAAAGATGTGCTGATCCCATGGTACAATGCATATCGCTTCTTCATCCAGAATGTTCTGAGACTCCAAAAGGTATGGACCTTGATGAACTAAATGTATGCCTGTAGCATCTCCATAGCAAGTCCTGTGCTGAGCTGTAAAGGGGAACTCTGCAAGTTCGTGAGACTGCTAGTCTCACAAGATCCAGGTACAGTTAGGTCCCTGGCGTCTGGGCTGTTCCAAGAGTATGGGATCCAGAGCTGGACCATCTAGGCAGGAGCTCACCTCTGCGGGACACAGAACCTCATCTATAGAAGAAGAATTATGTCAGATGGTCACTTGGTCAACTAGTTCTTAGTGCCAGGGGCACTGTGTTGAGTGAGACACCTCTACCCTCATGGAACTAGTAGGGTGGGGAATTGAGGGAGACAGTGAAGAGTTGGCTACTGTTAGCTATTGAGCACTAGGGAGGAGCAGAGTCTTGAGGGCTGGGGCCAGCTAATTTGGATCAGTGCTCAGGAAAGGCAACTCTTTGGAGTGGCATTTGGGCTGACACTCTGAGAGTGACAGCAGTTCTTGATGGAGTTCTTATTGGGTTGTCAGGATCACAAGTACACAAGTGGTGTTTTACCTGCTTGCCCAGGAGGCTTGTCCTAAGACGATCTTGCTCGGGGACCGCCTCCTCGAATGACTGCTGTCAGGGTCCACCACTTTCATTAAACATGTTCCCATTTGTGCTTTTAAGCCCCAGATTGGGAAAGGGCCTCAGTACCACTCATCTTCTTATCTCTAGCAGTTTGTAAGTAGAATTGCTGGGAAATTACTATTGAATGAACATGTAACATTTAACTCTGTAGAGTCAGCTCTGGTCCTTATGCTCTAGTAGGCTTCTGTGTCTGGTCTTGACTGTTCTGCTGAGAAGTAGATGGTGTATTCACCTGAGGCTCCCAGGGTGGACATTTCCCTGGGAATTGAGAAAGGCAGGCATCTTCCCCAGGTTCCCAGCTTTCTTCCTCTCTTTACAGTCCTGGTACCTCTGCTGCATGTGGTTCTGTGCCATACAGGGCCAGTAGCCTTTAGGTGGGTGTGGCAAGCCTCCCCTAGGGTGGGACTCAGGAATATAGACAGGCTCATACCTGGGGCCTGTCTGAGAATAGCAGCAGGATGCAGACACCACCATTAGGCACTTAAACTCAAGGAGAGAGGGTTTTACCCTGCTGCAGCTTAAGCCTAGTAGTGGTGCTACCTGAGAACCAAAGCAGTCTATGAGTTGTTACTGCAGAGTGGGAACAGACAAAGTGGGCTTTTAGGCTTAAGGAGGATTCTGGAAAGCAAAATAGAAGATGCGATGGAACCATCTAGCTAAAGTGAACTTCCTTAGCATAGAAATTAATTCCTAGTACTCATTTTCAGTTTGTGGGTAAGCATTTGATCCTAGACAGTTTTATTGTCCTTCCTGGTTTAGGTTTAAGGTACCTAAACCCTATACTTAGTGGCAAGACTTTAGAATATCACTCAATTTGTAGTATCTATCTTGGTGCAGGGAAGTAATTTTTTCCTAAATTCTCTTCATTTTGATCACAAACATAATTGAGGACTTAATGTCCCACATTAGTACTTACCTTGAAAATATTGCTGAGAATCAGAAGCTTAGATTGGCGGTAGGGCCTAAGGTTATTTTTGTTGTTGCTTTTGCTACTTCTTTCAGTTTAAGTGACTAAAACAATAGAATATTTTTCCCCCTAGTTACTTTCCCCCCAAGCATGTGACTGTTTTATTTAATTGCCCATGCCTAGGAAGAAGAAATAGAATTTCTTTACAATGAGAACATGGTTAAAGAAAGCCCCAACATTACAGACCGGTGGATCCTGTCCTTCATGCAATCCCTGGTTGGGTTCTTTGAGACTGAAATGGCGGGTGAGTTTCTTTTGGGCTGTGTACCCAGAAATAAGGACTTCTATTCTTTTTAAAATTACTCTTTTGATATTTAACTGTCTATAAACATAGAGGAAATTTTGAGAGATTCAGAGCAATAGATAAAAAAATTGTTTAGTTTTGATTTTGTTAAAAAATCATAGTTTTGTTAAGCCTAGTTAACAGAGGCTTAACAAGGCTTTGAGACCCTCAGTGATTCTGTCTCTGAAGGACCTCTTTACAAGAGAATGCAGGCTTTGGAGCTTGATAACCATGGATTCAAAACTCAGCTCTTGTTTCCGGTCTGGAAGGTGGCCTAAAGTCTATGCCCCTCAATTTCTTTATCTGCATAATGCCTCGTAGAGTTGCTGAAAGTCTTCAAAAGAAGTGATTTATTAAAAAAAAAAAAAAAATTGGAAGGCTTGGCGCCTGTGGTTCAAGCGGCTAAGGCACCAGCCACATACACCTGAGCTGCCGGGTTCGAATCCAGCCTGGGCCTGCCAAACAACAATGACAGCTGCAACCAAAAAATAGCTGGGCATTGTGGTGGGCACCTGTAGTCACAGCTACTTGGGAAGCAGAGGCAGGAGACTCGCTTGAGCCCAGGAGTTGGAGGTTGCTGTGAGCTGTGATGCCATAGCACTCTACCTAGGGTGACAGCCTAAGGCTCTGTCTCAAAAGAAAAAAAAAATTGGCAGATAATAGGTACTCAATAAATAGTACTTGTTATCAGTGTGGTTTTAATTTATTTTAGGTCTAATTCCACTATTAAATAATCTCTATCCATTCCAGAAAAATTAGAAAATTTTGTAATAGGCAATAATGAAATAGACAATAGGCAATAATGAATTAGACATTTTGATATATTTCTGTTACCTAACAATGAGTTTGGTTATAGACAGAGATGGGGAAAGTACATTACGTTGGCTTCCTCATGGTTTCAGAATAATCATAGTCATATTTCTCATAGTCCAGGTAAGAAATTCTAAGAGCTCTTACCCAGGATACCTCTGATATCCTAGTAAAGTAGGCAGGCAGTAGCCCCTGGTCACAGTGAGGGTAAGAAGGCAAAGTTAATCTTTGGTGCCTGGCATTATTGTGTGGTGGCTGGAGCAGACCTGCAGTTCAGCATTAGCTTGGTCACTGGTTCGTGGACTGTTAATCCTTTTGTATTATCCACCTCTTTAAACATGTGCCAAGATCTTGCCAGTCAAGCTAATGTTCAAATTAACATAAATGAGTGTATGAGGCTGATTCCTGTCCCAGGAAGGATAGCACCAGGAGCCTGCACTGCTGCACTCTCTTTAGTTGTGCTCACAGCTGAGTGATATGAGTGGGTGGGAAATGTGGTTATTGTTGCCCAAGGCCCCTGTTGTCTTTGGGTACCAGCTACCATGACCTCCTGTAAAGCTGAGTCTGGAAAGCACGTGTGCTGGTGAGCCTGGGAACTGGAGTTGAGCTGCCATGAGATGAGAATCGTGCACATGAGGCCAGGGAAACTCCCAGTGCTCTAGATGCAGACTGCTCTACCATCCTGTCGCCTTCATGCCCTCAGCTCTCTTGTTGGCAGTGTGGACATGAGAGCAACTACCTTGCAGACTGATGGTGGCCTCAGCAGTAGCTTCTGCTGTCCCCGTATATTGAGTATTCATTGTATGTGGGGTTCATTTACTCTCTAAGACAATGTTTGTGTCTCATCATTTTTTATTTCATGGCATACTTGAACCGTAAGTTAAATTTCCGCAGCACACTTAAATCATGTTGATGAAAGAAAAATAGTAATAGAATATACTTATTGTGCTTTAAACTACTTTCAAAGATAAATTAATGATCTTTAAAAATTTCATCCTGGTCAGGCACGGTGGCTCACGCCTATAATCCTAGCACTCTGGGAGGCCGAGGCAGGTGGATCGCCTGAGCTCAAGAGTTCGAGACCAGCCTGAGCCAGAGCAAGGCCCCATCTCTAAAAATAGCCAGGTGTTGTGGCCGGTGCCAGTAGTCCCAGCTACTCGAGAGACTGAGGCAAGGGGATCACTTGAGCTTAAGAGTTTGAGGTTGCTGTGAGCTATGAGTCCACGGCACTCTACCAAAGGCAACAAAATGAAACTCTGTCTCAAAAAAAACAAAAAAAGTTTTTGATCCTATTTTAATGCTCTTTGTATGGCAGTATGTATATAGTATGTTAAGTTCCTTCAGAATCTCTCCTTAAAAACTTTGAAGTTAATACTTTTGTGCAACCGTGTTTTGAATAAAGCCATGACAGTGTTAAAAGCAAACAAAATATGCAGTACTCTTGATTATTTTTTTATTGTTCCTGACTGTTCCTTGTTTTTTCTGTGACTGTTGTAACTTAAAGTTTTTGAAACTGAATTGTTTCAAATTAAACTGAAGATTTGTAATAATTAAAAAATAAAAATAAAAAGATAAAAAAATTTCATGGCATACCGGTTGAAAATCATTGCTCTAAGAGTTGAAACTTGAACGTAGGAAACTTGAGCATCCTATAAAGTATAGTTTACCCTACAAATAATTTAGCCATGCTTCTTCTCTACAGAATAGGCCTTGGTCACTAAAATTACCTATCTAGGAACATGTGGGCAGCTCATGACTCTGGCCTAGTATTTGGCCCATCAGCACCTGAGTTCTCATCTTTGTGAACAGCAGCAGAGAACAGCTCTGCCTGTTGCAACTTATCACCCGTCCTTAGCTTAGAGCACAAGCCTCATTTATATAATTGTGTTTCTTCTAATTTTGGGTATTAATTCTTTTTACTTGTGGTGTTTGTTTTTGTGCAATAGAGAGTGTCAGTTAAAGAGGGGGGGTGAATGAGAATTCTTAAAATAAGCCTTGTCTCAAACAGGATTGGCTAAATGCCCTTTTTTTCTGCTTACCCTTTGAGTTACTCAGGGAACCCTTCAAATTGTCTTAATTCCTCAAGATTCTTTTCTTTTCCCACTATCTTCTGTAGCTTTCTTCCCTTAGAAAGCCTGTTTTATTTTATTCATAGCTTGTACCAAAGTTTCTCAATGGTAGCACCACTGACATTTGGGACAGATTATTCTTTGTTGGTGGCACCATGCTGTCTTTATAAGATATCAAGTACCATCCCTGGGATCCACCTGCTAGATTCCAATAGTACCTCTTTTCCCCCAAATTATGACAACTAAAATGTCTCATCAGGCATTGCCACATGTCCCCTACAGGGCAAAATTGCTCCTATTTGTGAACCACTGGCCAATGCCTCGCCTCTCAGCATCTAATTCAAGCTTTTTGCTTGTTTGCTTGTTTGCTTTTTTGCTTGCTTGATAGCTAATGTACAATGTAGTGTGATAGAATGAAGTTGGGCTTTCGTTAGTGCTGTTAAATCGTACACCATGTAAACATTGCTTCCTGGAGTTTGTAGTGGGCAGCCTTGGACTGTGAGCTACATGTACTCAGATTTCAGTTTTTCTCACTCACAAATGGGAATTCATTCCCATGTGACTCATAGAATGACATTTGTATGCATCCCCAAACACTGTGACTACCATATGGTGCATCTTTGATAAGTGAGCCTTCATTTTGGTTCTTCTTGTCACCATACTAGGTGGAGATCCTTGGATGGAAGGGACTGCTTATTTTTTATTCTATCCAGCCCTCCCACCCCAGATGCCTGGTATGGACTAACTGCCTGATTCATTTGTCTTACTTTTAGCTTATAGGCTTTATACTGTGGTGCCTCGCCTGGTCAAGTTTATAGATGTGCTGACTAATTGGTATGTTAGAATGAACCGCAGAAGATTCAAGGTAAGTACAGACTGCTGTTGGGACAAACCACGTGTATGAATTTTGTGAGTAGAAGATAAATAATAACAGCCAAAAGGGAAAGGAATATTTCAAATGCTTTCAGTTTTTGAAGTTGTCTTTTTCTTTTCCTTTTGTTTTGTATATTAAGTGTATTTATTAATTGATTGGTAGGGACCTATAAGTTCTAAATGTCATTTTACATATTTTCACAACAGAATTATGTTCCCTTCTACAACTAGGAAACCATTTATTGAGTATTTGCTGCGGACAGAACTCTGTAGTTGATACGGGTTTAGAGTGAACAAAACTTGCCTATACTAAGTGTGTAAATAATGGTATGAGACAAGGAGTGGTAGGTACCCTTATTGCAGGCTGGGTGAATGAAAACTTCCACCATCCATTAGTGCTGTCTTAAAATATGTTAATAATAAAAGCCTGTAACACAACTATACCCTCAATTTTGTTAAAATGTGTTACATACCCACATATATGCACATAATCTAGAAGGACATATACTAAATTGTTTACAGTAGTTGTTATCTAGACAATAATTATGGAGAATTTGTTTTTATTATCTTTGTCTTTGCTACAATTAAGTAGTATATTTGAAATGTGCAGTATGTACTATTTTTAAAATAAGCAATCTTACCTAAAGGTACTTTAAAATTTTCTGTTAGCGACTGCTTCTATCTGTTGTGTGTGGATCCAGTCTGCCCTCAGCTTTAGAGTCTCCTAGTCAGGCCACTTGCTCAGGTGAGGAGAGTCTGGGAACAGCAAGTGCATATCCCAGCCAGGCCTCCTACACTGCTCTGCAGGGCCACTGTGACGACCCTAGGCAGCCTGTGGTTATGGCCTTTTTCCTTGTCTCATGTATTATTTGTATGCTGCACACTCTTTGTGTGTTGCCTCTTTTTGTTAAACTTCTTATTTGTTTTTATGATAAAAGCTTATTTCTAGCAGTTAAATATTGATGTTGCTTTTTTTATTAGGGTGAAAGTGGGGCAGAAGATTGTGTTACGGCCCTAGAAACCTTATTCAGTGTTCTCCTTTCTCTTTGCAGATTAATGGTAAGATGCTTGGCCCCTTTTTCACATGGGTTGTGTGTGATACCCCTCTTGCTGTAGCATCCTCCAAATACTTATTCTTTATTTGTTTAGCCAAAAATAGAAATAAAAGCATTATGATCTCTAATATAGCCTGTTCTTTCTCATCTTAACGTAGATTGCCATAATTATCTTTGGGTAGTTGATAGTTTCCTGAACTAATTTACTTTTATCCTGAAAAGTGAGTAGTATTTTCCCCCCGTTTACAAATGAAGTTTCTGAGGTTTAAGTCATTCAGTCCTCTGTGCTTATTGACTTGGCTGGAACATGATCAGATCTGTTTTTATTTTAAGACAGCCACCAGAAGTCTGAAGATGCTTAGGGTTTTCGGGGGGGGGGGTCTATAGCCCTGTTGCTATTCTGCTTATGTCTCTTCCATAGGGCATGTTTAGTAACTTCATGCCCATTTCTACACATATTACTGTATCATTCTCTAAAATGTTTGTTTTCAGTGTAAACAAGATCAGTTAATGATGGCTGTATGTGAATGACATGATGTTCTCTGTGTTCATCCAGGCCCCCTACACACCTTTTCTCACTGAGTTGATGTATCAGAATCTAAAGGTGTTGATTGACCCTGTTACTGTTCAGGACAAGGACACACTTAGCATCCACTACCTCATGCTGCCCCATGTTCGGTAAGAATCAAATACAGATAAGCCTCGCCTAGGCCACCGGGAGGGGAGTTAAACATAGGGTGGGGGGGCCAGCTCCCTAGGAAGAAATGGAGAGAGCAGGTATTTCCCTGTTGTAGCCCCTCAGTGCCCTGCCTCCCCTCAGGCTGACATGAGCTGCTCCTTAGGCTTTAGGCTGGGGCCCACTTTGACAAATGGCAAGAAGGATGCTTAGTGTAGAAGCCCTCTGTAGGGCTATGGAATCTGGGGTGTAGGCTTGCCCCCTTGGGAGCTGCTGAGTGCTTAGCAGCAGGCATAAACCCTGTCCTTCCCCAGATGCTTCACTGGGAGGCCCAATGGCATCCCTGGGCATCCCTTCTCAAGCCTAACTCTCTCCCTCACTCAAAGCATGCCTATTGTTTTGGATTTTCTCCTTTTAAATCTAATCTCTTTCATATTCCTATCTCTACCACTCAGAGAGGAATTGATTGACAAGAAAACTGAGAGTGCAGTATCTAGAATGCAGTCTGTGATCGAACTTGGGCGAGTGATCCGAGACCGTAAAACTATTCCAATAAAGGTTTGAAATTTTATTTATATTTTATACAACACAGACCCAAATAATTAAGTCCTTGGAATGTTTTTTGATACAATGAGCTTTCAGCAGTGGCCCATTTTTTTCTTTTTCTGCAGTACAGGTGTGAATGACTTTGTAATAGGTCATCTTGACTAGTTCGGAGCTTAGGACTCGATTAAACAATATTGCATTTTTCTGCAGTTTAGAGGACTGGATGCTTAGTGACTTTCTCCTCCCTTTTCCTCCCTAGTATCCTTTGAAAGAAGTTGTGGTTATCCATCAAGATCCAGAAGCTCTTAAAGATATCAGATCTTTGGAGAAATATATCATTGAGGTAAGGTAGATGATTTGTGTTGTTTTGGGTCCAAATAAACTTTCCTTGAGAAGAGCTTTGTGATGAATATTTCTCAATAAAGTATACTTGGACTGTATAATTTATAATCTTTTGTATATCCGTATGTGCACAACATACTTAACCATCTATATTTTATACCTTCCTTGGAATTAACATGAATTTGATATATTTCTTTTAAAAATATTTCATGATCAATGCATTTCTTTGCCTTTCATTTATTATCTTCATTCACTTCTTTTCCCCAAAGTACTTTTTGATGATTAACAATAAAACTTTGTTCTTTCAAATTACACAAGTGACTGCACATTGGTGATGTATAGTTCAAACACTAGCATGGTATGTGCCCAGTAAAAGATGGGTCCCTCTGTACCACATCTGTCCCTACAGTCTCACCCTCATAGGAATGTTCTTAGGATTTTACACATGTACATGTATACATACATATAGTCACTTATTTACATGCATACATGCCGTTTGGGTTTATTTGTGCATATATATGGTCATATATATGATATGATATGATAGACTACATATATATGATAGTCCCTAACTTGCTTTTTTAATTACAGTTTATATATATATGTTACATATATATGTAATGTTATATATATATATATATATATATGTATACTTTTTTTTTTGGTGTGGGGGTGGAGGATTAGGGTCTCCTGCTTCTTAGACTAGAATGCAGTTGTGGCATCATAACTCATTGCAATCTCAGAATCTTGGGCTCAGCCGCTCAAGTAGCTGGGACTACAGGTGTGTGCTGCCATACCCAGCTAATATAATATATCTTTTTAATAGCCATAAAATGTTTATTCCCTGGCTGCTTCATAATTATTTAGTTAATTTTCTATTGTTGGAAAGTTAGGTTTTTGATTACTAACAAAAGGTACATGTGTGTATCTTTGTATATACATATATCAGCATATGAATGTTGGATAGATTACAGAAGTGGAATTTGAGTGATAAAAAATTAAGCTACACTATCAGTTTTCCTCCCAAAAAGCTTTATTTTATGGTTTTCTTTTTTTTTTCCAAGACAACGTCTCGTTATGTCACCCTCAGTAGGGTGCTGTGGCATCACAGCTCACAGCAACCTCAAACTCTTGGGCTTAAGCGATTCTCTTGCCTCAGCCTCCAAAGTAGTTGGGACTATAGGTGCCCACCACAATACCCAGCTATTTTTTGATTGTACTTGTCATTGTTGTTTGGCAGGCTTGGGCTGGGTTTGAACCCTCCAGCTTTGGCATGTGTGGCTGGCACCCTAACAGGTGCCAAGCCTATTTCATGATGTTTTTAAAACAAATATATTTTCAATTTCATTTTTTATTCTTTTTACAGAATAAAAATTTTAATATATGAATTTTAATATATTAACATAGAAAATATTAATATATTTCAAATAAAATATTAATATATTTCTAATATTAATATATAGAAACTATTAATACATTTCTAATAAAACAAAATATTAATGTTTTCTGTTAATATTAACCAAATATTAATATTTGGTTTTGAATTGCTTGGGAATTCTAGACAAATATTAGAAGCCAAAAGTTATATTATGAATTCTAAAATAAAATACCTTAATCATTTACAGTGAGATTAATTAGTATAGTTAAATATAATGGCAAACTGGATGTTCCATTGTTATTTACTTCATGCTATAGTTATGATGTTTGATTTCATTTTCCTATCTCCTAATGTACTATCATTATTTGCTGTTGGTAATCTTTTACAGCTGTGAAGGCATGAAGTATTATGATTAACTGAGTCTTCTGGTCACTTGATTAGTTAGTTAACCTTGTGGTGTGCTGAAATTGCTTATGTAAAGGTTGCCCTTGAAGGACAAAGTTTATATTTCTGATTCTTTAGTTCTTTTCAGTTATTCTCAACTGTCTTGATTGATTTTAATAATTAACAAGAAGCATTTTTTCATACCATATAAGTAAACAGTCTTTAAATGTATTTATAGAGTTGTACAACAATCACCACAGTTTTAGAACATTTTGTCATCCCCAAAAGAAGCCCAATATCCATTAACATTCATACACCATTTTTCCCTCAAAGTCCAACCATTCCCTTACAATCAAAAACCTACTTTGTGTCCCTGGACATTTTAAATAAGTGAAATCATATACTTTGTGATAGTTTGTGTGTCTGGCTTATTTCACCTCACATAATGTTTTCATAGTTGGTTCATGTCATAGCGTGTATTAGTGCTTCATTCTTTCATCATTGCTAAGTATCCCATTGTATGTAATACCACATGTTGTTTATGCGTTCACAATTGATGGACACTTGGTTATTTTTACTTTTTGCATATTAACGAATAATGGTTTTCTGGACATTTGCATGTCTAGGTTTTTTGTGAACTTGTTTGTATCGCTCTTGTTTTTGTTTCCTCTTGTGCACAATAGGAATTGAATGTTCGAAAAGTTACACTGTCTACCGATAAAAACAAATACGGCATTCGACTAAGGGCAGAACCGGATCACATGGTCCTGGGGAAGCGTCTGAAGGGAGCCTTTAAGACAGTAATGACATCCATCAAGCAGTTGAACAGTGAGGAGCTGGAACAGTTCCAGAAAAGTGGTGAGTGTCTGCTCAGACAGGGGCACCATTCATGTCCTCAGCCTGAAGGATCTTTCTATATTTAGGCTCCTGTGTGACTTTTAATATCACATCCATTTCTTAAATAAAACATTTTTCTGGTAATAAAAATGTTTATGATAATTCTGATACTTCAGAAAGAAACCAAAAATGCCCCCTAACCATAGATTGAGTACCTGCTCTCTATTGTTTAAAATGCAGCCTAATAGACGCTGGCATACTGTTAAAATTCTAGTTTATTTTCTCCAGTTACATATACAGTCATATAATTATAGCCTTATAAAATGGAGGTCACACTATAAATTTAAACTTCTCCCTTTTTACTTTTTTCCTAATTATGTTATATATTTTTATTTTGCATTTTCACTTTACATTATAAACATTTTATGTATTTCTACTCTTTGAAATGCTATTTTAATAGCCACAAATTTTTTCTTCATGTGCATACTTGATAATATTTTTAACTAGTCTTATTGTTGGTATATATGCTGTTTCTAGTCTTTTAATGTAAATGATATTGAAGTGAATATTTTTGCATGTAATTATTTTGTGGAATTGACTCAATTAGGGGTAGTTATTACTGAATCAGATGGATGGATCTTAACTTTGAATTCTAGAAATGCTAATGAGAGCCTAGAAAATCTGTCCGCCTGGTGAGAGAGAACTGAACTCCCTGAACTTCATGACCCAGCAGCTACTGTTCCCCAGGAGTGTGCAGATGTTGCGTGTAGAGCAAAAGAAAATGGGTTTTGGCAATGTCGTAAGGAAGATGGGAAAATATTCAAAAGGAAAGATTACAATATTTTTGGCGGAAAGGGAGTTAGCATTGTGGTTTAGAGCTCCCTGCTAAGGAGAAAGGAGTTGGAACTTACCACGATTTTTCAGAAATATCCAGAGTCCATTATCTTAGTCTCTCTTACTAGACAAGACTAGATTCATTTATTCAGTAAATATTTTTTAAAGCCCAGTATAGAGCTGAATAAGACTTGTTATTACTCTCATGGTGCTGACAGACATTGAAGGTGTATGGAAATAATTATAGTTTTGATAATTTCTTTGAAGGAAAAGGCTAGGGTTACATGAGAACACATACAGGGAGCCTAACCAAACAGTGGAATTAGGAAAAGGAACTCAGCTCCCTCTCCCCACACCTCAGAGAGCATTTCAAGGTACTCAGGAATTTTCAGCTTTGCCATGATTAGAGTTGTGCTTAAGGGAGGAAAATGGAATCATACTTAGTCTAAATATGGCTGTTTGATATCCTACAGCTGTCCTGGGATACAAGGTGTTTATTATTAGAGCTCCCTCTGAGTTGAAAATAGTAAGCTGGGAGCTTTTGTGAGAAGTGAGGTTTAAGGACTCAGGTGATGACTAATTATGGAAATTGGGAAAAATGTCTCCAAGATTCCCCAAATTCTCCAGATAGAATTAATCAAACCTAAGAGGTTAGCAGCTAAAACTTGAAACTTTACTAATTCAGCTGAAAATGTTAAAAGAATAATATGTTGTTTGATCAGCCTTCAAATCACAAATCTGAGTTGTTTCACCAAATAACCAAAACATTAAAAAGTCTTAAAATAAACTTTATTGGAAACTGAAAGCCTACAGTTTCTAACTGTAGTTTCTTAATAGACCATCCTGCCCTGATGGGAAGGAAAATAGTTTTCAGAACACAATGACATAAAGTAAAACAACAGCCTAATTGCAGTGCCCAAGAAGGTAATTATCAGTGACCACAGCAAGCTTACCTTAAGGTTGGAAACTTAAGGTTTCAGCAAGGGGAGGTTGGAAACTTTCCACAGCAGCTGCGCATACACTCTTCCTCCTCTAGACAGCATGCTGCTCAGTGCTTCACATTGTCCATTTCATTTCAGCTACTACACCCTGCTTAGGATAGAAAACCAGATCATACAACCAGTGAGTGGTGGACCCATCTAAGTCCAATGTTACTCTGAAGACTGTATTTGCTTCATAACATCATGCTGCTCTGTGTTTATGGTGGGGATTTGTTGCCTGTTGGTATGTTCCCTTAGGTTGGCATGGATTTGGACCTGGGACCTTAGGTAAAACAGTAGACATTGGTGGTGACAAGGTAGCATAGTGCAGTCTAAATGAAGTTTGTCACTTCCTTGGCTATAGCAATGACATGAGTCAGGAGGAAATAACTCTGTGCTGTTATAAAATTCTCATCAAAAGGGGGCATGATACACTGGTAGCACAGCAGCTCAAAGAGGTTAGGGGTTGACTGAGTAACAGCACTGCTGCTTCTCCCAATAGGGACCATTGTTGTGGAAGGCCATGAATTGCATGAAGAAGACATCCGCCTCCTGTACACGTTTGATCAGGCCACAGGTGGGACTGCGCAGTTTGAAGCACATTCAGATGCTCAGGTATTTTTTTGTTCTGAGAAGAACTTCGAGAAGAAAGTGTTTTACCTATGGGTTTCCTTATAGTGTTGGCAACTTTTCCCAGGGTAAAATAAATCAGTTATTTGTTTTAGATTGGCTTTATTAAATATCTCTGTGATACATGTATGCCCTTAACATAGACATTTGTTCAATGAATACATAAATAAACATTTTATATATTCTACATATTAGTATTGTCCTAAGCATTAGGTTGCACCAAAATGATCCATTCAAGGAACCAGTCAGTCATGGACACGAGAAAGTAAGCAAATTTTTACTGTTCTGTCTGGTAAGTTATGTGGTAAAAGGAAGCATAGTGGTAGAGTTGAGGGTAGTCAGGTCACCCATCCTAGGCCTTTACATAGGACCTTGAGTTAGATGTGGACAGAACTCCGTATAGGCTGACGGTGGCAAGAAATCAAAGATGCAGTATGTAGGAAAGAAAGTAGATAAAGGCAGGTAAACAATGAGAGTGGACAATCTTTCCTGATAATTGCGAATGTTAGGGGCCTGAATAATTGTCCACACTTACAGAAGTGTCATCTTGTGATGCTTCCAAGCTTCTTGACAAGGCTTACCTGTTGTAAGGGTATGTAGTGGCCATGCTGACTGAAATTTCAAGCTTATTTATTTCAAGTTTTACACCTTGTGTCATTGTGAAGTAAGTCAAGTTTATTCTCTGATTGAATTTCCTCAGAGGTAAATGGGATGATGCCTAATTTACAGGGCTTTTGTAGAATATATTTTATTCTTTAATGTACTCTATAATAGTGATAGTGTTATTATTACTATATTATGATCAATAACTTTCAGAGTATATGAAAAAAATAAGACTGGCAAAAAGACAATATTTAAATTAAGTCGTATAAAAAGTATTGTGGTCCATTGTAGATTATGTCTTGAATCACACAAACCAAAGTATCAGAAGGGTCATTGTATACGACTGTAACTTGAATTTGGCTGCTTTGAAGCCTTTGATCTACTTGCTCGTGGTATGAAAAATTGTGTTGCTTAAGGGGCTTCATGGTTATTGATTTTACTTATTAGAAGAGTTGATACTGCTTAATTGATGGCCAAGTAGCAGAGTCACAGCGAACTCTCATGAAAGGCCAATTTCAGGGCAACTTCTGTACACAGCACCCTATAAAAAAGGAAGAAAAAGCTTTGCCCTTCTCCAGAGATAGAGAAATGACTGGTTAACAAAAAAAGTATTCAAATGATAAAGAAACTGGATTAATTTTAATTCCATTGCTCAGTTGTATAAATAAATAGTGCCACATTATAGATGTCTCAGAATTTAGTTTTAAATAGCGTTTTGCTGAATTTAAAGAAGTCTGTCTCTTTATTTGATTGTCATGAGTGGATCTATTCATTCTCCAGGTCCTGGTTCTTTTAGATGTCACCCCTGACCAGTCAATGGTAGATGAAGGGATGGCTCGAGAAGTCATCAATCGAATCCAGAAACTTCGCAAAAAGGTTGGCTTGTCAGCTTAAGAATAAGCTACTATTTTGAGGGCTTTTTGTTTGTTTGGGTTTGATTTTTAGGGGACGATAGGAAAGCCAGGTAATATAAACCATAGTGATCAATTAATGGTAATGATTCCATGATTATCGTTCTACTCAGATTGTACTCTGCAGGGAAGACAGGCCTCTTTTACTCCTTACTCCCAAAATGTAGCTTTCAGCCAACCCATACCTTAATCCATTCTTTTTCAATTCTCCTGGGCTTCCACCATAACCCTCTGACTGGTGCACAAGATAATTGGAGATGACAGTGTCTGTTTGAGGAGGAGATAAGTACAGTTGGTATAGAAGGGTTCCTCCCTCAAAGAAGAAACTTCTAGCTCTAGACAGAGCTCGGGTAGTTTTTTCTCATGAGAGAGCTAGGAAAAGGCACACAGAGCCCATTGCCTGGAGAGCCCCCACCGGGAGAGAGAATCAGGAAGCTCTTGTCATGGAGGGCATTGATACCAAGCTCCCTCCCTGTACATCTTCCTTCTCTGGCCAGATGTCTGAGACCTGTGGTTCACGGTCTGAGGAGGCCACTCCAACAGACAATTTGAGGTGGTAGGGGGAAGAATTTCAGAGCTTTGTATATTGATTATCAGTTATTTCTTTGTTTTCTCATTCACAAGACGCTGGTTGTGCTAGGAAGAGACAAATGCCCTATGTATAAAGAGTGGGGAAAAGAACACAAAGCAAGTTACATACTGCAGTGCAATTAGCCTTATAGTCTTAGAGATCACCCAAGGAGGGATGAGTAGGTGACTCTCCTTCCATGATGATTCCACATGGGATTGTCAGCTCTTCAGCAGTGCCTTACATTTGGATTAATAAAGTGTGCTTCCTTTTTGAAATTTTCTGTATGTGCTTTCAGTGCAGTCTGGTTCCAACTGATGAAATAACAATTTATTATAAAGCCACATCTGAGGGAAGGTATCTGAATAATGTCATTGAAGGCCACACAGAGTTCATACTTTCCACTGTAAAGGCTCCTTTGAAACCATATCCAGTTCCTACATCAGATAAAATACTTATTCAAGAAAAAACGCAGGTAAGCTTTGAGTTACATTCAACTACTAAAAGATTTAAGTTTATGAAATCACATGTTCCTATTCTATTTACCAATAGAAATTGGCATAGTACTCAGTTCTGGCTTATTGCTTTCAACGGGAATTGGGGGGGGGGGGTTTAGAGAGTAGAAATCCAAAAGAGGTGGAGGGGGAGAAAAAGCAGAACTGTCGACAACAGCAATTCTCTTAGGAAGAGTAACGAGGGTGCATGTGATTTGCCAGGAAATAAAGTGGCTATGTGGGCCTGTTTTTCTAAAACTAGAAAAATTGATATTTTTCTAGTAGTTACATGTATTATTAAAAGTAAACCATCGGCTGGGTACAGTGTCTCATGCCTCTAACCCTACTACTTTGGAAGATCGAGGTGGGAGGATTGGTTGAGGCCAGGAGTTGGAGACCTCATCAGTACAAAAAAATAAAAAAGCCAGGTGTGGTGGTGGCACCTAGAATCCCAGGTGCCAGCAGGCTGGGACAGGAGATTTGCTTGAGCCCAGAAGTTTGAGGTTGTAGTGAGCTATGATAACATCACTGCACTCTAGCCCAAGTGACAGAACCAGACCCTGTCTCAAAAAAAAAGTAAATAGCAACTGGCTTGAAAAGCATTTAGCTTTTATGGTAGTTGGTTTTATATAAAATTACAGTAGCATTTTTTGTTATTACATCTAGGAATTTTAGATTTAACTATGAAAGTCTGATTCCAAGACATGGAGGATATTGGCTCATAATTCAGAAGTAGGTCACCTATAAAATATCTTGGTCATTTACTTAAATGTTTTTTCCTTGTCTTTTTTCTTTACATGGGACAAACAGGACAGATAGGAAGGGCTGAAAGTAGCTGTTTGGAGTGATTTGCAGTATCGCTTCATTTTCTGTTTTTTATATTGTTCGATTATTGCTTATATAATCAGAAAAAGAGATTTACATTTTTAAGAGAATAGGGTAAAAGGTTAAAAAATGGGTATATAAATTACAGCTCTTGACTCTTTCATGACATTGAATATGTTGTTGGAGTTGTGTAGAGCTGTTCTTACTGACATGTTACTTGGTATTGTGGCACATTTCAGTAAGATGCTATAGTTACTTAGTCCTATGTTCTCATGTGCTCAGTTAAAGGGGTCTGAACTGGAAATTACACTCACCAAAGGATTATCCCTGCCTGGTCCTGCTTGTGCATATGTCAATCTAAACATTTGTGCAAATGGCAGTGAGCAAGGTAAGAGTAAATGAATTCCAAGGTTTGTATGGATTTTTTTTTTTTTTATTAAACCAATGGGTATTTTTAAGGCTATTACAAAGGAATCGGTAGAATCAGACAAGTTTTTTTTGAAAATTATAATGAAAATGATTCCACTAAATTAAATGAACAGATTTGCACTTGTGGGAACGGTAGAGTAGATGTATTTTTCCCCCATTCCTCCCACTAAGTACCTCTTAAACACCCTGGATACTATATACAAAAATAAACATAAGAACACTCACAGATGGAGTAAAGAAAGCAGAGCAGCCAGAAACCTTGTAATCAAGTAACATAACATTAATGAATAACCAGAATTTTCTTTTTTGCTGCATGTATTCCAAACTTAAGTATAGACAAAGCTCCAACAAAGTGCTGCTATCTCTAGACAAAGGATTAGAAGTGGAGAAGCCTAGCAAGACAGAAAATTTTTAGATAATTTGACTGCTCTACTTCAGCAAAACACCACAGAAAAAAGCTGTCCCTGCCACTACCCACACAAGTGAAGGCCAAATGGGGGAGTATAGACTTCCATTCTTGTTAGGTTGAAAATCCTCAAAACACCCCAGACTATTATGGTGGTCTCACAGAAGACCAAGCAGGGACCTCAGACTTTCTTCCTAGCAAGGCAGTGATAAGCCCTTCTGCCCAGGGAACTCTTGTATTTATATCCCCACTGGGTGGTAACAAGACATCTTTCCCCCTCAGAACAGCCTGGCAATAATGAGGCTGCCTACTACCACCAATTCCTGTGGTGCCAGTAAAGGCCACATGAGGAACAGTAAAGATGCATTACCTTTCCTGGCCAGGAAGATGGTGGAGGCCTAGAGGGGAATGAGAATTCCCTCCCCCACCACCTCAGCAGTAGTAACAAGGGGTTCTGACCTTGGTGTCCATGGAAGCTGATAGTGAACTTGGACTTCTACTCCCCCCTGGAAGTAACTAGGCAGTATCCCTGTTTCCACTGCCAGAATGCAATCAAACAAAATCTACTCTTAAGATACAGAGTTTTCATTAAAAAACCAACTATTATAATACCTAAAATAGCAAGGTATTGGTGGAAATTGCTTAATCATACCAAGAACCAGGAAGATCTCAAACTGAATGAAAAAATAATCCATAGATGAGAATATTAAGATGAAGAAATGACAAAACTATCCATCAGCATTTAAAGTGGCTGTAATAAAATTGTTTCAAAGAGCAAAAACAAATGCAGTAGAAACAAATGAAAAATACAAAGCCTCAGCAAATAAAGAAGATACAAAGAATAATCAAATGGAAATTTTAGATCTGAAAAATATAACTAAAATAAAACTCAGTAGATAGGTTCAAGAATAAAATAGAAAGGAAAGGAGGCAATCGGTGAGCTGGAAGATAGAATAATAAAAAGTATTCGTTCTAAATAGAGATAGGGCAAAGTGGCTCACACCTGTAATTCTAGCACTCTAGGAGGCTGAGGCAGATGGATCACTTGAGTCTTAGGAGTTTGAGACCAGCCTGAGCAAGAGCAGGACCCTGTCTCTACTTTAAAAAACAGCTGAACATTATGGCAGATGTCTCTAGTCCTAGCTGCTCAGAAGGCGGAGGCAAGAGGATTACCTGAGTCCAAGAGTTTAAGGTTGCTATGAGCTCTGTCTCAAAAAAAAAAAACACAGAATGTTGAAAAAAATCTAGAATCTTAAGGACCTATGGAACAAGTAACAAAAGATTAACATTCTTGTCATTGGATCAAAAAAAAAGAGAGAGAGATGAGAGATCTGAAAAGATAAATAATAATCTGTAAACTTACAGATTCAAGAAGGTAAGTGCCATGGTCTGAATGTTCGTGTTCCTCTAAAGTTCATGTTAAAATCTTAACCCCCAAGGCGATGGTGTTGAGAGGTGGGAGCTCTGGAAGTTCATGAGGGTAGAGGCTTTATAAATGAGAGTTGTACCCGTATGCCATTCAAATTGTTTTTCTGCTATAAGGTGTTGCATTTCTCTCCCAAAGGTCTATTTATCCCTCCCAGCATGTGAGGACACAGAAAGAAAAAGGTATCTATGAACCAAAAAATGGGCCCTTAAACATCATATCTGTTGGCACCTTTATCCTGGCCAGTTCTCAATCTCTGGCACTGTGAGAAATAAATTTCTGTTGTATATAAGCTACCCAGCCTGTGATACTTTGTTAAAGCAGCCTGGATGGACTAAGACAGTAAAACCCAAACAGCATGAACCAAAAAGTATGAGCATCAAGATACATCGTGGTCAGACTTCTGAAAACTAAAGACAAATTCTTGAAAGCAGTGAGAGAAATGCAACACCTACTTATAGCAGAAAAACAATTTGAATGATATTGAATTTCAGTAACCACAGAGGCCAGAAAGTAAAAGATAACATTTTTCATGTGCTAAAAGTAAGTACAGTCAACTCAGAATTTTATATTAATTAAAAATACCCTTCAGGATAATGGAAAAATCAAGACATTTTCAAGTGAAGAAAAACTAAAAGAATTTGTTGCCAGCAGACCAGTCCTAAAAGAATATTTGAAAGAGGTTCTTAACATAGAAGAGAATTCAGAAACATCAAGAAGGAAGAAAATTAGAGAATGAAAATAGAGTGTTAATTCAATCTCCTTCTGCTTGAACCTTCTAAACTGTAGTTCATGGTTGCAACAAGCACTATAACATAGTTTGATATGGTCTTTTACATATATATATGTAAGTCCTTACTTAACATCATCAATAAATTTTTGGAAACTGAAAACCTTTTTTATTTTTTTTGAGTCTCACTCTTATTGCCCTGGATGGTGTTGTGGCATCATAGCTCACAGCAACCTCAAACTCTTGGGCTTAAGCAATCCTCTTGTCTCAATCTCCCAAGTAGCTAGGACTACAGGCCCCCTCACCCAACTAGTTTTTCTGTTTTCAGTAGAGACGGGGTCTCATTCTTGCTCAGGTTGGTCTCGAACTCCTAAGCTCAAGCACTCCACCTGCCTTGGCCTTTCAGAGCGCTAGGATTGTAGGCATGAGCCATTGTGTCTAGCCAGAAACTGCACAGTTTTAAGTGAGATAGCATAATGTGTGCCATAAGAATTTAACTATGATAAAATTGGTTTCCTTGGACTGTATGTCATTTCACTTAAAGTCATAGTGTCAAGGAACCTATTGACAACATTAAGTGAGGTCCTACTGTATAAGAAATAGTTAAGACTATTCCACATAGGGCAGAGTAAAGGGAGATAAATCTCATAAACTGGTAAAATGTTGATATCAGTAGACTTCACCAATAAGCCTATACCAAGGGACATATAATATAAAACACTAGACAAAAACTGGAATTCTAAAATATGTTTAACCCACAGGAATCTAGGAAAAAGGAAACAAGAAATAAAACAAACAGAAAACAAATTCAATGGAAGACTTAAGCTCTAATATCAATAATTGTACTAAATATAAAGTGATCTAAATACACCAACAGAGATTGGCAGTTATTAAAAACATATTAGAGGTCAGGCATGGTTTAATCCCAGCACTTTGGGAAGCTAAGGCAGGAGGATACTTGAAGCCAGGAGTTAAGAACAACTTGGGCGATATAACAAGACCCTACCTGTACAATAAAAAAAGCTAGCTGGATATGGTGGTATGCCCCTCCCCCTCAGCTATTCATGAGGCTGAGGTAAGAGGATCGCTTGAGCCCAGGATTTCAAGGTTGCAGTGAGCTATGGTTGTGCCACTACTTCAGCCTGAGCAACAGAGCGAGACCTTGCATGCCCCTCCAAAAAAAGAAAAGAAAAATTTACCCAACTATATGGTATCTGTAAGAAACTCTTCAAATGTATAGCTGGGTATTGTGGGGGGCACCTTTAGTCCCAACTACTTGAAAGGTGGAGGCAAGAGAATCGCTTAAGCTCAAAAGTTTGAGGTTGCTGTGAGCTGTAATGCCATGGTACTCTACCGAGGGTGACATAGTGAGACGCTGTCTCAAAATAAAAAAAGAGAAATAGATAAATCTACTTTTATAGTTTGAGACTTCAACATAGCTCTTTGAACAATCAATGGACCATTTAGAAAGAAAACCGATATCTAACTGACATTTGTTGAGAACCTTGCCCAATAGGAGCAGAATATGTATTATTTTCAGACTGTCGTAGAATTTTGCTAAAATAGGTTAACTTGGACCCTCGGCCATAAAACAAACTTTAAGCACTTAAAAGAGTTGAAGTAATAGAAGAACATGCCCTGTCTTCACAGTGAAATCAAACTATAAATCGGTATGTTGGCAACAGAACAATGAATGGAAAATCTCCACACTTGTGAAAACTAAACAACGTATTTCTATATAATGCAAAATTAGGAAAGAAGTCTAATGGGAAAAAAAGAACTGCATGAAAAAGAAAACACAAATTCAAAACATGTATAATGAAACTTAAGTGGTGTTAAGACACTCTGGGAGGCCAAGGCAGGTGGCTTGCTTAAGCTCAAGATTAGAGACCAGCCTAAGCCAGACTGAGATTCCATCTCTAATTTTTTTTTATTCTGTTAGTTTTTTGAGACAGAGTCTCAAGCCGTCGCCCTGGGTAGAATGCCGGGATATCATAACTCATAGCAACCTCAGCTTGGGCTCAAATGATCCTCTTGCCTAAGTTTTTCTATTTTTAGTAAAGATGAGACCTTGCTTTTGCTCAGGATAGTCTCAAACTGGTGAGCTCAGGCGATCTGCCCACCTCAGCCTCCCTACATGCTGGGATTACAGGTGTGAGCCACCACAGAGATCTTTTCTAAAAATAGCAAGGTGTTGTGGCTGGAACCTATAGTTCCAGCTACTCAGGAGGGTGGGGCAAGAGAATCACTTGAACTCAAGAGTTTGAGGTTGCTGTAAGCTGTGATGCTACAGCTCTCTACTGGGGGCAACAAAGTGAGACTCTGTTTAAAAAAAAAAAAAAAGAAAGAAAACAGGAAAACAATAGAAAAAAATGAATGAAACAAAAATATGGTTCTAAAACAAAAATTAATAAAATCGATAAACCTCTATCAAAACTGAGAAGAAAAAAAGACACAATTACCAGTAACAAGAATGAAACAGGATATCAATATAGACTCTGCAAAAAACAAGAAGATATGCAAATATAAATAAGCTTCCATGTATAATTTGACAACTTGGATGAAGTGAACCAATTTCTAAAAAATGCAAACTATCAGAACTGACATGATATGAAATCAGTAATCCATTTGACTGGCCCTATGACTGGTAAGGGCCCATAATTCATGAATTATGAATTCATAATTTGAAATCTCCAGGCTCAAATAGTTTCACTAGAGGATTTGATCATATTTTTTAAATAATTAACATCAATTCTGTACAAATTCTTCTAGAAAATAAGAAGAGGAGAATATATGCCCTAACTCATTTTATGAAGGTAGTGCTACTGTGACCAAAACCAGATAGAGATAGCATTGAAAAAAATTGACAAATATCTTTCATGTATATAAATTAAAATTCTTACCAAGATATTGTTAAATGGAGTTCAGCTACTTAGGTTAACATAGACTTGTGCATCATGATCAAGTGGGGTTTAATACCATTTATGCAGAGCTGTCGGATACTTAAAAATCAGTCAATAGAATCTAACATATTATCAGACTAAAGGATTAGTTATGTCTATAGCAGTTAATGCAGAAAGTTCATACTCATTCATGGTAAAAACCCTCAGAAAAATAGAAAGAGAGGGGTCCTTCGTCACCATGGTGGTGAGCATCTACAAAAATCCTACAGCTACCATTATGGGGAAAGCCTGAATTCTTTCTCCCTAACATCTGGAACATGGCTAGGATGTAGCTTTTATTCAACATTGTATTGGGCTCGGCGCCCGTGGCTCAGGTGGCTAAGGCGCCAGCCACATACACCTAAGGTGGCGATTTCGAATCCCCAGCCTGGACCTGCCAAACAACGATGGCTGCAACCAAAAAATGGCCAGGCGTTGTGGCGGGCGCCTGTAGTCCCAGCTACTTGGGAGGCTGAGGCAGGAGACTCACTTGAGCCCAGGAGTTGGAGGTTGCTGTGAGCGTGATGCCATGGCACTCTACCCCGGGGGATAGCTTGAGGCTCCGTCTCAAAAAAAAAAAAAAAAACATTGTATTGGAATTTCTAGCCAGTAGACTAAGGCAAAAAAGGGAAATAAAAGGCATACAGATCAGAAAAGGAGATGTAAAGTTGCCCCTGTAGAAAATAAAATTCTACATAAAGACACTTGGCTCAGAGTGACTGGATTCAAAATGTGATGGGAGACCTCTGTGTTGGTCTGCCTATTAGTACCATCGGCAGCTGTTCCCTGTGGTGGTTGTATGTTTATCTGAACCTGTGGTAATGTGTTATGCAATATGTGATCCTTGAATTGCTACACAGTTCAGTGATGTTGTGTGACATGTGATTTAGTCCACCGCTGCCAACATTCTGGCTATCTGGGATGACCCTGTAGAAGGAATCAGTTGGACAGTTAGGAGGTGCGCATTACTAATGTTAACAAGGCCAGAATTCTATGTCAGCTTCAGTCAGAGGGCCAGTAGAATGGAGTGACAAGACAGGGTTCATCCAACTGCCAGGTCCAAGACTGCCTATTCTTGGGTTAACTAACCAAACAACTAGAAAGAAAAGCTCCCAACTCCAACAAGATTATTTTCCTAGGAATGGCTTCAAATGTAACCACAGATTGGTTGTCCATTTTAATATGATTTGATATGGTTCTCAATTTATTTTTCTGCTGAAAACATTTGTGTTATAAGGAAAAAACTACAAATGATCTTTAAGTCTATTTAAAGTATTTTTTGCCATTTTTTGTACCCATTGGATATAAACATTAATTGTGTGTATTTCCAAAATAATTAAATAAAATCGTACTACATTTAAAAAAAAAAAAAACTTTTTTGAGACAAGGTCTTACTCTGTTACCCCAGGCTAGAGTGTTGTGGCATCAGCCTACCTCATAGCAATCTCAAACTTCTGGACTCAAGTGATCCTCCTGCCTCACCCTCCCAGGTAGCTGGGACTGTGGGTGCTCAATACAATGCCCAGCTAATTTTTCTGTTTTTAGTAGAGATGGGATCTTGTTCTTGCTCAGGCTGATCTTAAACCCTTAAGCTCAAGTGATCCTGCCATCTCAGTCTCCCGGAGTGTTAGGATTTATGGTTATGGGCCACAGCATCTAGCCAAAATAAAAAGCTTTTAAGTCATAGGACATGAGACAAACATAGAAAAGTCAAATGTATATATGTTTACTAGCAGCTATATCTAAGAAAATAATAGTACTTCTAACACCTGTAAGCCTGAGGGTTTCTAAATGGCACAAAATGAAAAATGAGGCTCGGCACTCGTAGCATAATGGTTAGGGTGCCAGCCACATACACCAAAACTGGTGGGTTCCAAACCAGCCTGGGCCAGCTAAACAACAATGACACCTGCAACAAAAAATAGCTGGGCATTGTGGCAGGTGCCTGTAGTCCCAGCTACTTGGAAGACTGAGGCAAGAGCGTCACTTGAACCCAAGAGTTTGAGGTTGCTGTGATCTGTGACAGCACAGCACTTTACCAAGGGCGACATAATAAGACTGTTTCAAAAAGAAAAAGAAAAATGAGGATCATGAATACAAAGATTTAAATCTATAAAAAGACAAGAACAGACTGCCTGGTAGAGTTCTATCCTTGGACCGTACCTACAAAGAATTGCCAAAACATATACTAAGGGTATATATGGTTTATACTTGAGAGGAAAAATAGAACTTGATACCTTCCCCTATCCCCATATCCATTTTCTTCCAAATTTAACATTTTCTTGTTAAGTTTTTTTCTGACTGAAATCTTGGTTTTTGTGGCTTTTTAGGTGGAGTATTGCTTCTGGAAAATCCAAAAGGGGATAATAGGTTGGACCTTTTAAAACTGAAAAATGTTGTCGCTAGTATTTTTGGAGTTAAAAATTCAGAATTGGCAGTCTTCCATAATGAAACAGGTATGTGGAAAGTGAGAGCAGGTCTGTGTCTTTTGATAAAAAGATGGATTGGTGAAGGTCTTAATTTGGTATCGGTTACACTGCATAATTTTTGAGTTTTTCCTGACTCTTGAGTCAAGGCTGGGCTCTTGAGCAATGCCTGCCTTCAGTGTCTACCTGTGCCCCTCTCTGTGTGATATGGCTGAAAACCCTGAACTTACTAGGTGGGGAAAGTTCTCGTCTTGCCTTCTCACCAATTAGCCATGTGATGGAATTCAGGCTTCAGAGATCTCCTTTGGGGGTTTCAACTTTATAAAACATAGTATCCAAATCTCACTAAATCTAGATTTTCAGCAAAACAAGTCTGCATAAAATTTTAAGGAATTATAAATCCATTTTCTTCTGATACGTGTTGAATTGGTACCACTGAAAAAAGATATGTTGGGGTCCTAAGCCCTTGTGACCTTTGGAAATAGGGTTATTTCAAATGTAATTATTTAAAATAAGGTGATACTGGAGTAGAGTGGGCTCTTAATACAGTATGACTATTGTCATCATAGGAAGATGGCCATATGAAGACATAGAGAAAATGCCACGTATTGATGAAGGCAGAGATTGGAGTTACACAGCTGCAAGCCAAGAAACACCCACGATTTCTAGGACCCTCTAGAAGTTATGAAAAGGCAAGGAAGGATTTCCCTATAAATTTCAGAGGTAGCATGTTTGGCAACACCTTAATTTCAGAGTTGGCCTCCAGAACTGTGAGGCAGTAAATTTCTGTTATTTTTCATACATACAACACATACACATTTGTGGTTCTTTATTATGACAGCCTCAGGAAACTTAACACTTTATGAATCTAAATGCTCATTTTCAGAAAATTATATTATAAATAATTTAAAAAGTGGAAATCTATATTGCCAATTGATTAAGGAAGAACTTTTGAATCTTTAGTAATCAGGAACACACAAGATAGAGCCATAGTGAGGTACCATTAACTGTCACCAGATTGGCAAAAACTAGTCTCTCACAGTCAGATGTTGCCAGGAATGTTGCATAATAGGGTCTGTCATTCACTGCTGTATTATAAATTATTACAGCCACTGAGAAACCATTTGCTCTCTTCTTTACTGAAGGGATAAGTAGGGGAAGTAAAAGCAATCAGAATAACTGGGGAAGTAAAGGTCATCAGTTGGAGCTCTGAGAAAAATCTCTAACCATGATCCACCATGAGGAGCGATGAGCAAGTTAGTGGAAGCCTGGGATCTTTGCCTGAACTCACTGTAGGATAAGTAGTAGACACATTCTTACCTAATAACAAAAGCAAAGATAGGCTGGAGCTCACATGTGTCTAACTACATTTAACACTGACAGTCAGGTGTCACCCAGAAGAAACTGCTGGTGTACTTTGCCTGAACGTTGCACATGTGTTTGGCCTAGAAGTTAAAAGAGCAAAAAAGCAGGACCATTGGCTGCTCACTGTCTGACTTAACACAACAAGCTGGTGATCAGCACAGCTTGAGAAAGCTGATGGTTGCCTGGGCCCTACATTGACAATAATGGTAATTTATTTACCATTTCTCCTTTCTAAAACCTGTACAGAGTACTCTGTGGTCAAGTCGTTACCCAGAACTAAGCCAGGCAGAGAATTGGGAGCCTGTTCTAGCTTAGCTACATTGACACAGGATAAAACCATTACTGTTCACCCCTCGGCAATCCTGACATCTATACATGGCTCTTTAAACCATATTTTACTTCCAAATAAAGACCTAATAAATTAAGTCATGCTTTTACCTCTTCCTTGTAGAACTTAAAACATGCTGACCACATTACCTAAAACAGGACAGAAAGTCACCTTATTCATCTTTGGATGATACTAATGTCTCTAATAGCTGAGTCACACATACCCTTATACTGTACTTTTAATATTACCAGGATAGAATATTACCTGTTAAAATATTTTGTTATATGGTGGGGAAATAGATGAATGGAAAAATAAGAATTTTTTAATATGTACACAAATACATGTTATCTAATAAGTAAGATAGAACAATTACACTCCTGGGTAACTGATCAGATGGTCAACACTTTAATCAATCTGTCATTTCCTTTCTTTGCTACTATTCCCTACCCTTTGGCTTTAGCAAGTGTCCTTCCTGAAGGGATGATCCAAATCTTTTCTGAAGGATTGGAGCCATTAAAATCCCTGCCTATATTGGATTTTTGTAGTTCTTCATTCATTTTGTCACTGATAAGGTGCAAGAGATCTCTAGTATTGCAGACATTTTTTATCCTCATTGTATAAGGATATTATATAATTAATTGTCCCAGTCAGTACAGTAGGCACCCCACCCCACCCTACCCCATCCCATTTATTTGCTTGTTGGTTCACTAGATAAAGGAGATTGAAGTGACCAAGTGTCAGATTTTCAGTTTAATGAAATTACTGTTTGTGGGAGCATTCCTCCTCTCTTGGGAACTGAACCTCTAAACTAGCAGAGACTGAAGTACTAGAGTGGATCACTAAGGGTAAAGAGGAACCACTTTCATCTGTCTCCCTTTGTGCCCTAAATCTTGGCCATGAAAGAAATGGTACCATATATGGGTCTCTGATTTAGACTAGATGTCAGCTAACTTTTTCTCAAAGGCAGATACTAAATATTTTAGACTAGGAGTCATTAACTCTGCCATTGTAATACAAAAATGTCAGGGTCCCACCCCGAGAGCAGTGTCCACTGACACGTGTGGAAACTGGCAGCAATTGACTGAAGAAATATAGAGTTAGAAGCAACGATAAAGAAAGAGAAGAGACATAGAGAATTAAAAGCAGGAGCCAGGGTCCATTGCCCATAGTGGGATTCTGGCAGTGGCCCAGAGTGGCTCCACTCTGATTTTGTTGAGGCAATTTGCCCAGAGGGTAAGATGAAGAGGAAACAAAGATGTCTCAGATTGATCATATCAGCTTCTATTGTTATTACAGTTAACCTTAAGGGTGGCCTTCAGTAATCTGAAATCTGAGCCTCCTGCTTGAGGTCATGCACGCAGATTTCTAGGGAGGTGCTAAGCTCCACTAGTTCTCTGGAGTAAAACACCACCAGCGTTAATCTCCTCTGAGGAATCGGTGGGAGGGAGGCATTTTCCTCCCATCACCACCACAGAGGATTTTCCTTTGCTATAAGGGATATAAGCTCTTCTGCCCATATCTCAGAGCTTGAGCTACTCCCTTGGTCTCTGCCCCAGTCAAATGCAAATCTCCACAATGGGTATCTGCTTTGCCTGTTCAATGGACAGGAAATGCCCTAGAAGATGTATCTTTTTCTAGGATTTGTCACAGTCTCTTCTATGACCATTACTCTCAGAGTGCTCACAGACCTAGCAAGGTGTTTGTAAGCTGTATCCCCAACAGGTTAGAATTTCAAAAAAGACAAGAAGCTTCCTAGCAATGGCTAGCTTAAACATAAACTAGCTGACTTTTCTTTGTTCCAACTTACTCAGCTTACTTTTCAGTTTTCCTTTTTTTCTGGGGGTGCTTTTCATTGCCAAGAGTGGGGTCTTCAGTCCCCATTCACTCAGCACAAAAGCAGCTGCAATAATATATAAACCAATGAGCAGGATAATGTTTCATTAAAATTTTGATTTTTTTACATACACAGGCAGCCAGGCTAGGCCATAGTCTGCCTCTCTCATTTAAAGCATAGACAACATCTTGAAGGACATTATTCCAGCCCTGGTGAGGTGTTTTTGTCCAGGTGGGACTGAATCTTCAGAAGGCCATTTCACCATTTTATTAGTAGATCAGCTGCTTCAAATGATGGAGAAAGTGAGGTCCCTGAACTTGAACACCTTGCAGTACTTCATTTGCTGAGAAATGAGTTCTCTGACCAGATTCCGTATTGTATAGAATGCCATGTTTGAATAAGAAAGACATTCTTTTTTAAAATACATTCACAGAGTACGAGTAAGTACAGTTTGCTACATTGCACTGTGGTAAAGTCAGGGCCTTCAGTGCATCTGTCACTGGAGCAATAGATATTGTACTCAGCAAGCAACCTCCCATTATCAACCCCATCAGTACCCTACTCACGCTGAGCCTGCATCATTCATCATTCTACCCATTCCATGGTATACATTATTTAGCTCCCATTTATAAGGGAGAACGTGTGGTATTTGTCTTTCTGTGTCTAAGTTGTTTCTCGTAATGGCCTTAAATTCCATCCATGTTACGGCAAAAGATAGGATTTCATTTTTATGGGTGAGTAATATTCCATCGGGTATATATAACACATTTTCTTTATCCAATTCTGTTGATGGACACTTAGGTTGATTCCATATCTTTGCTGTTGTGAAATAGTGCAGGTATCATTTTTATATAGTGATTTTTTTTCTACTGGGTAGATACCCAGTAGTGGGATTGGTGGATCATGTGGCAGTTCTATATTTCTACATCTCCATATTATTTCCCATAGAAGTTGCACTAATTCACATTCCTACCAACAGTGTATAAGAATTCCCTTTTCTTTGTATCCTTGCCAACGTCTGTTATTTTGTCTTTTCAGTAGCCATTCTGATTGATGTGAGGTGATACCTCATTGTGGTTTTAATTTGCATTTCTCTGATGATAAGTGATATTGGACTTTTTTTCATTTGCTTGCTGGCCATTTGTCTTCTTTTGAAAATTGTTCTTGTCTTTAGCCTAACTTTTTTTTTTTTTTTTTTTTTGAGATGGAACCTCAAGCTATCTCCCTGGGTAGAGTGCCATGGCATCACGCTCACAGCAACCTCCAACTCCTGGGCTCAAGCGAGTCTCCTGCCTCAGCCTCCCAAGTAGCTGGGACCACAGGCGCCCACCACAACGCCTGGCCATTTTTGGGTTGCAGCCATCATTGTTGTTTGACGGGCCGGGCTGGGGATTCGAGCCCGCCACCTTAGGTGTATGTGGCTGGCGCCTTAGCGGCTTGAGCCACAGGCGCCGAGCCTCCTTAGCCTAACTTATTAATGGGGCTTTGCAGTTGTTATTTTATTTTATTTTTTTTTTTGGCTGGGGCTGGGTTTGAACCTGCCACCTCTGGCATATGGGGCTAGTGCCCTACTCCTTTGAGCTACAGGTTCAGATCTTGGGGTTGTTTTTCTTGTTGTTGATGTTGTTTTGAGTTCCTTGTGAATTTTGTTTAGATATAACTTCCCCATTAGGTGTATGGTTTACAAATATTTTCTCTCTTTCTGCAGGTTGTCTTTTCACTGTTGATTATTTCTTTTGTTCTGCAGAAGCTTTGTAGTTAAATTAAGTCCCATTTGTCTATTATTGTTATTGTTGCCTGTGCTTTTACGATCTTAGTCATTAATACCTTGCTTAGATCAGTATACAGGAGGGTTTTCCGTAAGTTTTCTTGTAGTGTTTTTATAGTTTCAGATTTTATATTCAAGTTTTTAGTCCATCTTGAGTTGGTTTTATTTCAGATTTATATGAGGGTACAAATGATTAGGCTACATTATTTGCATTTGGTAGGCAAAGTCCAAGTTGTAGTTGAGCCTTTCACCCAGGGGGTGTACTGTATTACCTTTACATTGTGCCCATTAGGTGAGACTTTAGCAATATTCCGCCCTCCCCATACTTGAATTTAATTGTGTTTTTCTTTCATATGGGCATGTAGTTGTTTTTTAGTTGCTTTCATATTAGTATTGAGTGCATTGGATACTTGTTTTTCCATTCTTGTGATACTTTAGGAAAAGGAGAATGTTCTTCAACTCCATCCAGGTTAATGCAAAAGATATAAAGTCACCATCTTTTTATGGCTGAATAGTATTCCATGGTATACATATACTACAGTTTATTAATCCGTTCATGAATTGATGAGCACTTGGGTTGATTCCACATCTTAGTGATTGTGAATTGAGCTGCAAATAAACATTCTAGATGAGTCACTTCACAAATTTGCAGGTCATCTTTGCTCAGGGACTGTGCCAATCTTTGTATTGTTCCAGTTTTAGTATATGTGCTGCCATGTGATTTTTGCGTATGATGAGAGATAAGGGTCCAGTTTTGTTCTTGTTTTGTTTGTTTGTTTGTTTTTTGAGACAGTCTTATTTTGTCATCCTTGGTAGAATGCCGTGGCATCATACCTTACAGCAACCTCCAACTCCTGGGCAGAAGCGATTCTCTTATCTCAGCCCCCCTAGTAGTTAGGACTACAGGTGCCCTCAAAATGCCTGGCTATTTTTAGAGACAGGGTCCTTGCTCTTGCTCAGGTTGGTCTCAAACCTGTGAGCTTAGGGAAATCCACCCACCTTGGCCTCCCACAGTGCCAGGATTATAGGCGTGAGCCACTGCACCTGGCCCTCAGTGTTATTCTTCTGCATATGACAACGCAATTTTCCTGCCCTTTATTAAAAGGGTGTCCTGTCCCCAGTGTATGTTTTGATAGGCATTCTCTAAGTCCTTGGATGGTGAATTTGACAGAAACATTACAGGTGACAGTGACAAATTCATGTTTCAAAGATATGTGTTCCAGTAAGGACAAAGCACTACCTACCTCATGATAGAAAGGGTATAATATATAACCAGCCTGCCACTGGAGACCTGGCTCATCTCCCCTGGCAATAATGTGGTATCTAGAAGCTCGTGGATTTATGCTCTTGGTAGTTGGGATACACAGTAGCAGAATTAGCTTTGGGGAGTAGAAGTAATGTTTCTGAGCCCACAGATATCCTTCCAGCCTGGATGGCCCCCTTTGTTCATCAGTCTGCTTGGGCAAGGACAGAGTAGCTAGGGAAAGAATAAGTCATATTGTCCACCTGAGATTTAGATCCTCATTTATAGTCTATCCGTTGGAGAGATCTGTCCACATGTCTCTTGTGCTGAGATCTACAACAGCAGGTCTAATATGTTTTCTTTCTCAGTCAGGTGTGGTTGAGAGCGGAGACCATGTGGCCCTGAGCTGGGCATGGACATGGGAATCCAGCCACTTGGTGATGCAAGTTCCTTGAGGAACTGCCCCGCCCAGTCTCATATGTGCCACTTCCACTCAATATTTGGAGTCTTCCCAGTGCACCCCATCTTGTATCACAACTATTACCAGTCATCTCCCTTTGTATACATCACTAAGCAATGTTAATTTTACCTGAATGAAATTATACTACATGTGTTCTGTGTATCTTTATTTGTTTCATATCTTTCTTTTTAGTCAAATAACTTACCTTCTAACTGTAATTATTATTTTTTTAATTGAAGCTTTTCAAGGTAAAACTTGGGATTCTGGCATAAAAGAAAATTTAAAGAGGAGCCACAGTATGCAGAGAAAAATCTTAAAAGGAGAGAAAACAGTTTGCCTTATATTTTAAGTTATGAACATTATGCCATTTATTTTTGCATCAAGATTTTCTACTTGCATGTCATTAAAAGCCTGGCTCATAGAAAAGGCAGTGTTCTTTGATAAACAGAAATTAAGTGGAAAGCACAATGTAAAAAGATATATGATAGTATAATAGTTGAGAAAAGTGAATGTCTTCATCTCTGATCTAACCTTGAAAAATTGTTATTGTTATTTTTAGAAATACAAAACCAAACTGATTTACTGAGTCTTAGTGGAAAAACACTTAGTGTGACTGCAGGATCAGCTCCCTCTGTGATCAGCAGCCCTAGTGCTCTTCTCTGTCAGTACATCAACCTGCAGCTCCTGAATGCAGAGCCACAAGGTATGTGCCTCCTCCCAACAATCAGGTTAGGGGGTGCTGGGCGTGAAGATTTCCTTATGTTCAAATCTCTAAGTCTAGTTTCTGTTACTGTTCCCGGGGCTGACTGTTCAGTGACGCAGAGGTAATCCTGCAAGCGAGATGATTAATCTGAAAAGGGAGGCTGAAGCTCGCTCTGGCATTCAGCAAATACCCATCTTTACTGATATTCTTATATACCCTAAAACATCAGATAAAAGTTTAAAATATCAATACAGTTAAGACAGGAAAGTAAGATCACAGAAACTGCCATAAAGATTCCAATCCAGTACAATTACTGCTGAACACGTACAATTGATACAAATTAAGAACATTTTACTTGGGGCTGAATCACAAAGATGCCAGGTTGTCTGTTCTGTGGGCGCATTTCCTTGAACTAAGACCAACAATTATTGTGTTAATGAGGACAAAGAAACAAAGTACAACTGTCCAATGTCTCCATGTGTTTAGCTGCCAGCTGCGACCCAGCGTGGTCCTCTGGCCAGTTCCTTTCTAAGAACGTTTCTGCTGTTCAGCAGGCCTGGGCATGTTCTCAGAGTAAGAGAATTCCATCTTAGAACCATGTTCCATGGGGAGCACATGAGACTAGACTGCCATGTCTGAGCGTGGGGGGCTGTACCCCTTCATGTATCTTTTGAGTTTGCTTCAGTGTAGTGATTTGAAGTGTAGGTTCTCACCACTGCTTTGGGGGACACCCACAGGCTTATATCTTTTAGTGTATTTATATAGAATACATCTGGAATAGTCAAGAAATGAAATAAATTGATTAGGTAAAAATTGGAACTAAATGAAACTGAATTGCTTAAGCACCAAAACATTTTTTTTTTTTTGAGACAGAGCCTCAAGCTATCCCCCTGGGTAGAGTGCCGTGGCATTACAGCTCACAGCAACCTCCAACTCCCGGGCTCAAGCGAGTCTCTTGCCTCCGCCTCCCAAGTAGCTGGGACCACAGGCGCCCGCCACAACGCCCGGCTATTTTTTGGTTGCAGCCATCATTGTTGTTTGGCGGGTCCGGGCTGGGGATTCGAACCCGCCACCTTAGGTGTATGTGGCTGGCGCCTTAGCCGGTTGAGCTATAGGCGCCGAGCCAGCACCAAAACATTTTTGATTTGTAGTTTTACTTTATTTTTTCTTGGAAAATGTTCTGAAAACACGTTTACCTCCGTGCCTTGATCAACAGACTAGATTGATAATAATTTTTTCCTGTTATTTTAGGATCCTCATTGTGCGTGTTATTATTCAAGTCTTTAGGCTCTTCACTTGACTCTGTTCCCCAAGCTGCTGGGCTTTTATATGAGTTGGTTTTTCTTTTTTCCCTTCCCCTCTGTGGAATGTTTAAGGTTTCCACATGGAATGCACCTCCAGCTGTCACACTCATATCCTGTACTCACTGCTGGCCTCAGGAGCCTTTGGCATTGCCTGTTGGAGCTGTCTGTACTGGCTACCTCTGTTAGAGGGTGAGCTCTGAGCATTTAATTCAGTTTATTCTTTCTTCCATAGAGTGTTTAATGGGAACAGTGGGCACTCTTCTGCTTGAAAACCCACTTGGGCAGAATGGGCTCACCCACCAAGGACTTCTTTATGAAGCAGCCAAGGTATTTGGCCTTCGGAGCAGGAAGCTAAAGCTGTTTCTGAATGAGACCCAAACTGAAGGTGAGATTATGGACCATAATTTTTTTTCTTTCTTTCCTTTTGTTGAAAGTAAATTCTGATGCCATTAACCATTTATAGAATATGTGTATTAGAATATTGTCATTATCTTTTTGTTATCTTTTTTGGTTCTTTCCCCAGAACTCTGCTGTAATGTGATTTTTAAAAATAATAATAATTAAAAACATAATTACCTTTCACTTTAGAAATAATCTAAAAATTATATTGATGTTATGAAAAATAAATGCTTCCAGGTAAATTAGCATACTTTCTGACCCTAAAATTGTTCACTTCCCCAAGAATCAATATAAGCACAGTGTTGTATAGAATAACAGCCTGGAGGAAACATCACTGACACTATACCTCCCTTTACAGTTTATTAAAACACACGCCCACATGCGTCTCTCACTGAGCTATGTCGCAGTATGAAAAGCAAATTCATCAGTTGCCGTATTCTGCTTTCAGTAACCCAGAAAACAGAAACTTACGACAGTAATTGCACGAGCTAGTGTCTGGCAATGATGTGTTTTCTTTTCTCATTCTCCCCCTTCACATTGTCCACTTCTTTGATTTCTGCTGCTTGTGCTACTGTCAACTTCCCGATTGACCAGCTAGCCCTACCCTTTGAGTTCTGTTCTACCATACATCAGACATGCTCACTTTTAATATTGCTACCACTGGCAGCGTTTCCCCAAATAGCTGCCCTTTGTGGGATCTGTTCTTCCTGTTTATAGCCATTCTTCTTGACATCCTAACTCAAAACCTTTTACCAGTCCATCCTTTTATTTACAAAACCTTACAACCTAGGCTTTATCGGGCTTTCTAAATCAGGATTTGTATATTTTAGCACTTGTTGAAACTAGCCAGGCATTATCTTTTGCATGGTTACCTCTTGCACATTCTGGCTAACAGTGGCTCTTTTTTGAACTTTGATTAGATGCATTTTTAGATAGACTATCTTACTCTATCCTACCCTCTCTTTTATTCTCTTCTTATTCCCTCCCCTGCCCCTGATCCTTAAATGCAACATTCTGGGTAGTATTGGCTGATTTATCTTACCCTTATTCCTCTATAGGTATATCTCTTTCCTCTAGCTTCTTTCTTTTTTTTTGAGACAGAGCCTCAAGCTGTCCCCCTGGGTAGAGTGCTGTGGCTTCACTGCTCACAGCAACCTCAAACTCCTGGGCTCAAGCGAGTCTCCTGCCTCCGCCTCCCAAGTAGCTGGGACCACAGGCGCTCACCACAACACCTGGCTATTTTTTGGTTGCAGCCGTCATTGTTGTTTGGTGGGTCCAGGCTGGGGCTTCGAACCCGCCACCTTAGGTGTACGTGGCTGGCGCCTTAGCCAGTTGAGCTATAGGCGCCAAGCCCCTCTAGCTTCTTTCAAGATGTTCCCTTGGTTTTGATTTTCTGCAGTTTGACTATGACATTTTTTTTGGTATAAAGCATTCTTCATTTCTGTTACAGTGTTTCTATTTCTAGTGTTCTGTTTCCTTTTCTTTCTTAGAGTTTTTATCTTTCTCCTTACATTACATTACATCTGTTCTGCTTATTTAGTTGTTTCTGTTGAAGTCCCAGGGTTTTTATTTGTTTGTTTTGTTTTTCTGAGACAGCATCTTGCTTTATCACCTGACACTAGAGTGTGGTGGTGGTGTCATAGTTGACTGCACCCTCAAAGTTCTGGGCTAATGTGATCCTCTTGCCTGAGCCTCCTAAGTAGCTGAGACTGCAGGCACATACCACCATACACAGCTAATTTTTCTATATTTTATAGAGACAGGATCTCCTTCATGCTCAGGCTAGTTTCAAACTCCTGGCCTCAAATGATCTTCTGGGCTCAGCATCCCAAAGCACTAGGATTATAGGCATGAGCAGCCATGCCCAACTTGAAGCCCAGTTTTAAGGAGCATTTCTCCAAGGAATGTTTCTCCTTGGAGACACTCAGCCCAGACGCATTTTAAACTCAAATCATTTAGGGCCACAGAGAGACTGTTAAGAAAGTTCTGACCCCAGTCATGCACAAAGATCAGGAACTATCATGGAGACATGGTCTATCTCTACCCCAAAACAAGACTGAGTGAGGCAAGTTCTCTGTATTTGTTCTCTGGCTGCTACAACAAATTTCTATAAATTGGGTGGCTTAAGGCAACAGAAGTTAATACTCTGACAGTTCTGGATGCCAGAAGTGTGGAGTCAAGGTGTCAGGGAGACCATATACTCTCTGAAGATTCTAGGGGAGAATTGGTTAGTTACCTTTTCCAGCTTCTGGTGACTCCATATGTTCCTTGACTTGCAGCCACATCATGTTAATATCTGACTTTGTGGTCGCTTTACCTCCTCCTTTCTTTTTCCAAATAAGATTACATTCACAGCTCATGAGAATTTAGAACCTGAGTCTATCTTGGGGGAACATACTAAACCCACTATAGTCTCATGATTGTTTTTCTCTATGGGGAAGGACTTGATGCAAATTAATCCTTCTGCTTTGGGTTCCTTATTCAAGGTTCCAGCTTTTTGAGGAGGATTTTGTTTGACTTCCCAGTCTGTGTGCCAAAAGCATTGTGCCACCAGGAAATCATGTTCATTCACACGCTCCAGGGGGATCATCATTTTTTACCTCTGCAGATTTCCCTCATTTTCTTTCCTGATCAGAATGGACATTTTGGCAAGGACAAGTTTGCATACTTAATTATCATACCTCATAAGACAGCAGCTCTGATGGCCATTCCAGAAAAAAGAGTTCCAAAATTTCTTTGAAGCGTAGACTAGGCGCTGGCATCAGCGTGTAACTTCCCTAGGGCAGCACTTCAAAGGTGACCATAGTGATATTCAGCCTTAAGGTAAGAAGCACTTTTTCTAGGATGAGTTCACACACTTAAATTGTCAGAACTCGTAAGGCTTTTTTCATTCTCCCTTTAATACAATTGGCTCTTTCATCATGGTATGCTAGTAAAAGTCATCTTTAAATGTAACTTTCTGTTTTGAAAATCTTAGGTAAAACCTTAGTGATAGTCTTAACTCCTTTTCTTATCCCTCAAATCTGTGGGTCACCGAATGCTATGTGCAGTGGAGCTAAGGAGTGTCACCTCTCACTTGTTCTGTTCAATAAAAGCACAGATGTGGGTAAAACTGGTCAGAGGTAGAATCATTGTCTGTGTGAATTAGATATTTATAACACTACCTATGATTCACATCACCAGGTCTTCCCTATACTGTATTGCTGCATTCTTTTTACTCTGTGAGGTTGAACAAGAAGACGTTTCATAGGTTAAAGCTTAAATGTTAAGTGATTACCAAGATTACCACAAAGCTGGGACTTTTTCCAATTCAGTGTCATTTTCCAATTTAGTATCCTTAGGCTCTTTTTCATATTGTTTTTCCTTTCAGAATCTTCTTTCATAAAGAATTAAATAACTTAGTAAATGAGGATCAAAAAATGCTTACAATTTTAGAAACTCTTTGATGTCTTCTTGCTTGTTATATACTAAGATTTTTAAATACCATCTCTAGATGCTATTGTTATCTGTTAAGGAGGCAGCTTTGAGTATTTTCACATCCAGGATTGTCTGCTTGGGCAAGAACTATTTTTAGAGAAAGCTAGTCCTTTCTCTTTAAATTCAGATCTGGCGTGAAGCAAAATGTACCACAGTAGGCAAATAACTTTGTTAAAATTTTATTTTCTTCTTTTTTTTTCTTTTTGAGTTACATATTCAGTTTGTTTTAATTAATTCCATTTGTGTTATACTTTGGGTGTTCAATGATTTCATCATTGGACATATCGTATCCTGTATTCTCTCACATGATTCCTTGTCTTTGATAACTCCTTGCTTTCTGGCATGGCAACATGTCCTAGGCTCAGAATGTATTCTTACTTTCCCAGACCTGGAAATGGATGTTCTTCCAATTAGGAGTTACATATAGAACCAACATACCTAGGGTACTCAGTTGACACTGCTTCTAGGCCTTTTCTGTAGTCATAGGAAGTATCTATTTATGGGGTGGGGGGCATCTTGGGCAGTACCCAGAGTTAGCCAAACTGTGAGATTGAGGGTAATCCAGAAAGCTTTAGTAGTCTACCCAAAACTTCTAATTCTAACTGTTGATTGAGGGCAATCCAGAAGGCTTTAGTAGTCTACCCAAAACTTCTAATTCTAACTATTAATAAGGAGTTAGGGTTCAACTGCAAACTTAGAGGTAGGAATCCACATAAGACCCCTATCATTTCTGGCACCAACTTCAAGTTTGAGGGTTTTCCTAACTACCCTCAAGTTCAGTAATTTGCTAGAAGTACTCACAGGCACACTGAAAGTTACTATACTCACAGTTTGTTTTGTTTGTTTGTTTGTTTTTCTTTATTTTGAGACAGTCTCACTGTGTCGCCCTTGGTAGAGTACTATGGAGTCATAGCTTCCAGCAACCTCAAACTCTTGGTCTTAAGCAATTCTCTTGCCTCAGCCTCTCAAGTACCTGGGACTACAGTTGCCCGCCACATCTGGCTATTTTTTCATTGTAGTTGTCATTGTTTAGTAGGCCCGGGCTGGGTTTGAAGCCACCAGCCCTAGTATATGTGGCCAGTGCCCTAACCACCAAGCTACAGGCACCAAGCCTCTACTCATAGTTTTATTTCAGGGAAAGGATACAAATCAGAACCAGCCAAAGAAAAGAGATGCATAGGGCTGAAAACTGAGAGAGGTCCAAACAAGGAGCTTCAGGTCATCTTCTCCCAATAGAGTCATGGACAGTGTCTCATCTTCCCATCTCTAAAGTATGATAACACACAGTGTGACCTACCAAGAAAGCTCACTTGATCCTTGGTATCTAGAACTTTTATTGAGGTTTTGTTATATAAGCCTGATTAATTCAAATTGCCCACATAGTATTTGTCTTAGCTGACCCAAAATCCCCATCCTAAATCATAAATTGGTCTTTCTGGTGTGGCTGACTCATTTCATTAGCACCGCCAATCAGATATGGTCAAAATGCTCACCATGAGTAACAAAAACACTCCTATTAGGAAATTCCAAACATTTAGAGAGTCACCTCAGGAGCCTAGGACAAAGATCAGACCTCTGTTAGGATGAAACTAAATTCCTTACTATACAGTTAACATTTTTTTAAATATTCATCCACCACTCAGCAAATAGCACAGTGATTACAGCACCAGTCACATACACTGAGGGTGGCACGTTCAAACCCAGTCCAGGCCAGCTAAACAACTATAACAGAAAAAATAGCCAGGAGTTGTGGTGGGTACCTGTAGTCCCAGCTACTTGGGAGGCTAAGGCAAGAGAATCACTTAAGCCCAAGAGTTTGAGGTTGCTATGAGCTGTGACACCATAGTACTCTACTAAGGGTGACAAAGTAAGACTCTGTCTCAAAAATAAATAAATATGCATCCACAACAGGTAAAATACTAATTTAAAAAAATTTTTTTTCCATTCTAGAAATTACAGAAGACATCCCTATGAAGACTTTGAATATGAAGACTGTGTATGTTTCTGTATTACCAACAACAGCAGACTCCTAACATTTAATTATCAATGTGTTTCAGTCATCCTTTCCCTAACTTATACCCATGCCCTCCATATATGTACACATTCATAGACACATGGACACAGTGAAGATACTTCCTTTAGGTGCATGTATAATTTGCTGCTTTTGGTCTAAAATTCAAATGGGATTGATTAGTCAAGTGACTTCAGACCTCATGGTAAATGGTAATGTTCATACTTAACTGTAAACACCTATGCAGTCATGTTGGGAAAAGATTATAATGTTACCTCAGCACCACCACAAAGTTTATTTCTGTACTTGAGTTCTTACATAAGTACGGGAGGTAGAAATGGTTTTAATGCCATGATGTGTTTATGTACACATATATATGTGTGTATATATATGCAGATAGCATTTTGTGGCCTTTTAAATTTATTTCAGACCTCTCAAAGAAATGGACCTATTTTATATTTCTGCTACCTGAATTTTCCTCAGTAATTTGATGAAATATTTTAAGTTTCAGTAAATCACAACAATAAACAGATTCTCAGTTATAAATGTATTGTAATTCATTTTCCCATGTTTAATGAAACTTGAAATTTATAATCTTTGAAAAAACATAAAAACTTTGTAGTGATTTCTATATTAAGACAGTATACTAAATATCTAACAAACTTCTTTTCAAAATTCTAGGTGATTGACCTAATTGTATATACTATTATATTGATCTGAAATTTTAAAAATTCTGTGTGATAATTTGGGTCCTCAAAGCAGATGCCAAGGCAAAATCAGATACAGGAATTTAAACATAAATCAAGTATAAAGGGGAGAGGAATAGGCATAGCTAGGGAGCCTTCAAACTGCCATTGTAGGTCTGATGCCTGTGAAAAGAGAAAAGAAGATGATTAGAAAACATATAGATTATAATACAATTCTGAGACAGAGTCTTGGTCAAGTCAATTTGGAGTTGCCAGGCAAGGATTACTTTTAGTAGAGTTTGAATTAAGCAGAAATGACCTGGCTTTTCATCCCTGCCTATCTGGGAGCAGGCCAGAGGGATCATGGCTTTGGCAAAATGCCCTGATGGATCAGAAAGTACCAAGTACATTTCTCATATCAGATTCTTTCAAAGAGAGATCTGAATGATGTATCTCTATGGCTGCTATAACAAATGCATTTAAGCACAAGCCCACAAAACTGGAAAAGACAGAAGAGACAACAGCCAAAAGTGGGGAATTGGAAAGCAGACAGACGGATGTTACCTGACTGGTTAGACCGAAGAAAGCCAAATTCTAAACTAGCAATGTAGAAACTAAGAAACATATTTACAGTTCAGAATTCTGTCCCAATTACCTCTGGGACAGGGTGAAAGAGGCACACAATTAGGGAAGATTAGATAGACAATGGGAAACCTTAGAGCTCCTCATTCTACATTGTTAGACAGCTCTTCGTTCCACCGCAGATGTTGGCATTTGGAAGTTTATTCTTTAGAAGGGGTAATAAAGTAACTTTGGTAGTCAGAAATTAGAGTGAGTGACAAAGGTACTTGCAAGTCTTGGGGGCTTCCCAAAACTAACCCACAGGTTAGATAATCTGCTAGGACTCACAGAACTCATCGAAGGCTATTGTATTCATGGTTATAGTTAATTACAGGGAAATGTTACAAGTCTAAATTAGCCAAGGAAAGATGGCAGAGGGAGAGCCTAGAAGTACCCAACACAGGTCTGTTGTTCCATCCCCTGAGTCAGCAAACATTACCAGCATCAATGTGTGACAGTATGTGCAAAGTACTGCCAAACAAGAAAGCTCATTCAAGCCTTGGAATTCAGTTTTTTATTGAGGCTTCATGTAGTTAATCTCTAGGTTAACTAAGAGTACACAACCCAAGTCTCCACCTAAGTCACAGTGTTGTCTTTCTGATGTGGCCTATCCCCTACCCTAAGACTATACATACTTGTCCAACCCTAGCCATAACACATTGTTAAGGTCATCCAGTAGAACCCAAGGACCCCAGGCAGACAAAGACACTTCTCTGGCATAATATTGAAAGAGCAAGGCCAAATTTCTTTTCTACCCACCACTATACTGAAATAAGATGAAGTGGTTTTATATATACTGTCCACCATACCTAAAAAGAACAATGGAAATGTACACCACAGATAACTAAAAATATGGTTCATTCTAAACATTAAATTCAAAGTTGACAAGTCCTACCCACACCCTTATGACAGTGTTTTAGCCCTCAGCTCTTACTCATGGCACTCCATCTATAAGAAAGCATCCAAAAAAGGAAAAGCAACTTAGAGGAATCAAGTGCTGCAATGAGAAGAAAATTTCCCTGGCAACTCTGTTATCAATATCTTCAGCACTATAAGATTACATATAGAATTTAAAAGCAGGCTGGTACAAAACATGGGACTTTCAGAGGACAAAAAGTTCCTGTTAAAATGTGGTAACAGAAATAAAAAAGTCATTGGATAGTATGACTATCCAATAGTATGAGGAAATTTTCCAAATGCTAGACAGATTAGAGAAAAAGATACAAGGTGAGAGAAAAGAGAACCTCTATGTAAATGAGAGTCCAAAAGGTCCAATATCTAAATTGTAGGAGTTCCAGAAAGAATAAAAGTAAAGTCAGGAAATAACAATAAATTAAATTTTGCAAAACTAAAACAGGCACAATGTATGAAAATATACTTCCTCCAAGACACATAACTGAAATTTCAGAATGTAAAGACCAAGTTTCTACAAAGAAAAAAACAAATCATGTACAAAAGATTAACAGAGTAATGATTTCATTTCTTAACAGCAACGCAATTCTTAGGGGAAATTTTGCTAGCTAAAATTTTACCCAACCAAATTATCCCAACAAGTATAAAGGTAGAATAAAGCTATTTTTAAATATGAGTTAGGTCTCAGAAAAATTATCTTCCATTTACTCTTTCTCAGGGAGCTATTGGAAATATGCTCTCTTAAACCGCAGCTAGCTCACCAAGATCTTGATTTCTAATACCATTCTCTAATTGAAGGAATGGTTCCCTGAGAAAATGACTGATTCTAGAGCTGTAGGTGGGAATACACAAAACAAAGCCTGAAAGGCCAGGCGTGGTGGCTCCTGCCTGTAATCCTAGCACTCTGGAACCCTGAAGCCAGTGGATTGCCTACCTCACAATTTCAGGACCAGCCTGAGCAAGAGCAAGACCCTGTCTCTAAAAATAGCCAGGTATGTGGCAGACGCCTATAGTCTCACCTACTTTGGAGCCTGAGGCAAGAGAATCACTTGAGCACAAGAGTTTGAGGTTGCTGTGAGCTATGATGCCACAGCATTCTTAACCAAGGGCAACAAAGTGAGACTGTGTCCCAGAAATAAAATGAGCCTGAAACATCTTGCAGTGCCAGATAGTAAAGAAGTTCTCAAAAAACAATGGTGTATGCAGAGTGACTAAAACAAAATGCCATAATAGGAAGCCTAATTATACCTCAACTTGTCTTTGTGAGACCATGAAATCAGTTTAAAGGTTGCAGAGCCCCAGTTGAGTACAAAAACCCAGAAGGTAGATTTAAATCAGGTAAGTAAGGCCAGGGGCAGTGGCTCACACCTATAATCCCAGCACTTGGGAGGCTGAGGCGGGTGGATTGCCTGAGCTCACAGCCTGAGCCAGAGTGAGACCTCATCTCTAAAAATAGGTGAGCGTTGTGGTGGGCACCTGTAGTCCCAGCTACTTGGGAGGTGGAGGCAAGAGTTTGAGGTTGCTATGAGCTGTAACACCACAGCACTACAGAGGGTGACATAGTGAGACTGTCATAAATAAATAAATAAAGTCCATTGAATTTGCCCATCAGAACTCTTCCCAGTACCAAGCATTGTGCAACACGATCTAGAGAAAACAACTTAAACCTTTTTCAAGAAGGAAAGAGTGGAGTATATGTCCAGTGTTCTAGACTATAGTGGGGCTACCCCAGGGGCTGATTTCTCTTCACATGTATCAGAGCACTGATGGGAACATTGTGACACTTTGGATACCTGAAGCCTGCTGAGAACAAATCTCAGAGCTACAGTCATGTTAGAGTACCAGAGAAACTGTAGTACCACAAACAGACATGAAGAGGAGCAAGAAATTACATGTCCTTTAAAAGAAATTGGCAAACTTATTTATCTGGGAAATTATACACACAAATCCAGAAAGAGGCATCCTAATCTCTAGCTGGGTTAGTTGGTGAACTTGATCCTTTTAATAAAGAATGAATATAAATGCAGTGAGTGTTGTTTGGTGTTTCAAATGCACAAATCTCAACAAACGATAATCACAAGGCATACAATGCAATAGGGAAACATGGCCCAGTCAAAGGAGTAAAAGCTCTCCAAAAATTAACCCTAAAGAAATGGAGATGTATGAATTCCCAAGGAATTCAAAATACCCATCTTATGGATGTTCAATCAGTTAAAGAATACAAATAGACAAAATCAGGAAAATGATGGCATGCGCAAACAAGGACATCAACAAAGACAAACCATCTTATGCCCAAATTCTAGAAATGAAGAATACAATAACTGAATTGGGGGAGAAATCATTAAAGGGATGCAATCAAAGGTTTGACTGAGAGGAAAGAATTAGCAGATTTGAAATTATTAAGGCAGAGGAACAAAAAGAATAAAATGGAACAGGCCAGATGCAATGGCTGACACCTGTAGTCCTAACACTTTGGGAGACCAAGGTGGGAGGATCACTTGAGGCTAGGAGTTTGAGAACAGCCTGGGTAATAGCAAGACCTGTCTCTACAAAAAATGAAAAAAATAGCTGGATGTGGTGGTATATACCTGTACTCCCAGCTTCTCAGGAGGCTGAGGCAACAGGATTGCTTGAGCCCAGGAGTTTGAGGTTGCAGTGAGTATGATGATGTCACTGCATTCAGGCCTGGACAACGACCCTGTCTGAAAAACTAAAAGTAAAAATAAAAGGGAAGAGAGCTTAAGGGACTTTACCAAAGCCACTAAGACACTATAGAAATAGAAAACTATTGACCAATATCCCTGATAAATACTGATGCAAAAATACTTGAAAATCAAATTCAATAGCACATTAAAAGGATTATATACTGTGACCAAGGGAGATTTATTCCTGGAGTAAGGATATCCCAACATTTGAAAATTGATCATGTAGTACACCACATTAAGCCTATATTCCACAATGGCCCAAGTGATAAACCTAAGCGTCAGACTTCCATGTAATAAAACAATCAGAACTCCACCATACTTATCAGTTCTCCCAATAAATGTAAATGGGCTTAAATTCTCCACTAATGAGACACAAGCTGGTTAACTAGATTAAAAAAGTGCAAGCTAACTATCGCTATCTTCATGAAACACATCTCACCTCTATGGACAAAACAAAACTCAGGGTGATGGGTTGGGAAAACTATTTCAGGCAAATGGAAATCAGAGGACAGAAGGGGTTAAAATCTTATTCACAGATACAATTGGATTTAAACCAACAAAAATAAAGGCAAAGATGGACACTATATGCTGGTCAAGGGAA